TATTCAATCCATCATAACTATTGCTTTGTTTTGTGTGAAAACATTTTTCATTATTACCCCTAAAGGGCCTTTCGTGGATGAACGACCACCACTTATACATGTTAAAACCATGGACACTAGTACCTAGGCCATCGGTCATTTATCATAGTATCAAAAGATACACAGGTGCCAGGTCAAGTGATGGTGATCTAAACGGAATGACTTGTAAAGCTTACTGTCCATTTGTAAACAAATTGTAACATATCTCTAACATACATCAGATAGAGGATAGAATGTGTCCTCTTTAGGGAACATGTGGTGGCAGTCATCCAATCACAGTGATATCCCCTCAGTCCTGTAATATCACCATCTAACAGATCGGTTCTGTAGGTTAACAACAATTTACTGTTTTCAACAAACAATTTAGGCATCTTTCCCATTCCATGAAGTTTTTAAGAACAGATCCCCTAGAGGTCAACAAGGGTTGTCTTCCCAACTGGTTTTTAAAATATAACCTTGGAAATGTTTGCTCATTCAATTTATCTCCCTGACAACAGCCAGGATCATTTTGAGGATTCTTCTTGTGGTAGCCATTGACTACCGCATTGAACAACATGTGAGAGACCTGTCACATTCCATCCAGTGTAATAGGTTTAATGTTTCTTGCCCTCAGTCAACCTTGACAGCAAGGACTGGTCCATTTCTAATCTTTCTGAGATACATAAACTGCCAGGGATACAGAACCTCTAACCTTCTCCTAATGATTGGCCATGTATCCTTACCCTTTGTAAGTATAGGTAACACAACCAAGCTAAACATGCACAATTCAATACAACATCTAGAACACCGTGCTGAGTCAGAATTGATAATTTTCAGAACTTTGATACACTATAACTCCAACATTATATTGGTATTATCGCTGTTTCAAACTTCAATATTTCTTCAATGGCGAATGGCCAGCCATTCTTCAATTTCCATTTCAAACGAATGCAAAAATCATGCCACACAGAAACAATTTTCCATAAATTTGTAAATAAGATTCAAAGCTTGAAATATGACTTCCCCTGGTTCTCTGGAATTGACACACAAGTGAACAGAACCTTTCAATAGTTTCTTTCTGTTCAATATATCTAATAGAAATAATTTTACAAAAAAGTAGAACTGCATTAACAATATCTGTTCTCTTTCCATACCAGATCTTTGAAGGAAATAAAGGAAACCCAAAATACTTCTGACTGGGAAGGATTTCATAAAATAGTTCTCGCAATTGTAGTACAATTTTAGAGTAACTTGTCCCCATACAATGTTGGAATTTTCTAAAATTGTGAAGATATTCTTAATTATTTCTTTATTTTATGAAAACAGCACAGTTAAGGCAAAGCATAAAAAACCAATCAGTCCTTTTATTGCATCAGTGTAATATACTGAAGGCTTGTGATTCCTTAACAATAGATACCAGAGGGATTCTTTAAAAAAAAAAATGGATCTTTTCCTTTCATTTCTGTTCTCTCCTCTGTTTTCGCTGACAACTGTACAAAATTTGAAATCCCCACTGAAGATATAGGGATAACAAACTTTCGTTGTAGAAATCCAAGATGGCTGGCCATCCTCTTTAATCTTTTTTCTCTGATCAATCCAAAAATTAAATGGGTACAACTTGGGACCAAGGGGAACCTACATATGAAAAAATAGTGATAAAAATGTTCATTGTTGAAATCCCAGATGGCTGCCTGTCAGCAATTTTACTTTTCTCATCAGTCCTGAAATTGAATGAGCACAACAAGGTACCAGGGAGAATCTACATATGCCAGACATTTTCTTTTTCTGATCTAGGTATCAAGAAAAAAACAACAGAAATTTTTATGCACGAACCAAGGACCACGGACGAAGGGTGATCTGAATAGCCCACCATCGGATGACAGCAGGCTAAATACAAAAGGATTCCAGGAACATGTTATGAGGGAAACAGTAGACTTAGCAGTGTTCTTGATGGCCTACTGTACTTGACAATGGGTACTTTCCTGGCCAATTTTGGAGATACAAAGCTGTACCAAGCATAATCATCTCTTTTCGACACGTACAAGGAAGAATGAAAACATTTGTGGCAGCAGTAGTAGTTGTCTCTTAAATCTGGATGTTATTATTGTTAAGTTATAGATAATTGTACACCAGTGATTATTGTAGTATTTTACAGGTGCTTCATCCCATTATAAACAGATGTCATGTCTTCTCAAAAATAAGTTCCAGATGAAAAGCTTCAGTCCAAGTCTAAAATCAAATCGCCGTCAACACAGCTTCAATATCCATCTACGATGAACTTTGACATGATAAGAAAATGCTTTGAAAATGGAGTTAATTATATTTTCATATTTTCTCTTCTAATAAATATGATGCTGATATAAAAAGCAGCAACATCAACAATATCTTTGGTGTCTTACTTAAACATGTTCATTTACATGATGCATGTTAAACACAATCTGTCAATATATCTTATACAATACGTAGCAAATAAGTCATGTTAAAAACGAACACAATCTCTCAAAATGTCTACTATGTTTCCCAGGCCATAAACCGCACCTGAGTATAAGCCACAGGGATTTTAATGATTTTGCGATTTTATCAACATATAAGACCTACCGGGATATAAGTCATATCCTTTCTTATGATGTGGTAACCGTTATGTTGATCAAAGTTTGTTGATATAACAGACAACGAAAGCAATTTATCAAGATCGTCAGTGAATTATTTGATATCAGTTTGTAACTGAATTGTACAGTTAATCCTGTATTTTATTGACCCGTTTCAAGAAATGTAAAAAAGCAATTACCAAACCCAATTGGCATCGGCGTCTCTCTTTTAAATATTAACAAAGGCCCTCCTTGCATGCTGACAAAATTCTTATATTCTAATATTATTCCTTGTAAGTTACACCAAGTCATCCTTATCAAAAACAAGCATGGCAGTCACTCTAGAATTTGACCAGATGACCTATTGATCCCAGGATGCAACAGGCTATTGTAAAATTTCACTATGGCTTCCAAAAGCAACTTTGAAAGTTTCTTATTGTGATTCATATTAAAGGGTATGATTAATTCAATCCATGAGAATGCTATTTCTATTTCAATCTTAAAATCCTCCCATATATGACTGTAATTGATGGTTCTAGATGCTCTGTTTCAGTCACAAACATGTGATGGACAAGTACTCGTAAAAACCTTGGTACCAACATCTCATACTGGCATACTGGTGTCTTTGGTTTAAATCACCATGTAGATGATACACCAAGGACATATGTACAGGTAGCTACACACCTAGGACATTATGTACAGGTAGCTACACACCTAGGACATTATGTACAGGTAGATGTTACACCTTATGTACAGGTAGCCATACACCTAGGACATTATGTACAGGTAGCTACACACCTAGGACATTATGTACAGGTAGATGATACACCTAGGACATTATGTACAGGTAGATGTTACACCTTATGTACAGGTAGCCATACACCTAGGACATTATGTACAGGTAGATGTTACACCTTATGTACAGGTGTCCATACACCTAGAGCATTATGTACAGGTAGCTCGCACCTAGGACATTATGTACAGGTAGATGTTACACATTATGTACAGGTAGATGATACACCTAGGACATTATGTAAAGGTAGTCATACACTTAGGACATTATGTACAGGTAGATGATACACCTAGGACATTATGTAAAGGTAGATGTTACATCTTATGTACAGGTAGCCATACACCTAGGACATTATGTACAGGTAGATGTTACACCTTATGTACAGGTAGCCATACACCTAGAGCATTATGTACAGGTAGCTCGCACCTAGGACATTATGTACAGGTAAATGTTACACCTTATGTACAGGTAGATGATACACCTAGGACATTATGTACAGGTAGCCATACACCTAGGACATTATGTAAAGGTAGCCATACACTTAGGACATTATGTACAGGTAGATGATACACCTAGAACATTATGTAAAGGTAGATGTTACACCTTATGTACAGGTAGCCATACACCTAGGACATTATGTACAGGTAGCTACACACCTAGGACATTACGTACAGGTAGATGTTACACCTTATGTACAGGTAGCCATACACCTAGGACATTATGTACAGGTAGATGTTACACCTAGGACATTATGTACAGGTAGATGTTACACCTAAGACATTATGTACAGGTAGATGTTACACCTTATGTACAGGCAGATGTTACACCTAGGACATTATGTACAGGTCGATGATACACTTTGGACATTATGTACAGGTAGATGATACACCTAGGACATTATGTACAGGTAGATGTTACACCTAAGACATTATGTACAGGTAGATGTTACACCTTATGTACAGGTAGATGATACACCTAGGACATTATGTACAGGTAGATGATACACCTAGGACATTATGTACAGGTAGATGTTACACCTAGGACATTATGTACAGGTAGATGATATACCTAGGACATTATGTACAGGTAGATGTTACACCTAGGACATTATGTACAGGTAGATGATACACCTAGGACATTATGTACAGGTAGATAATACACCTTATGTACAGGTAGATGATACACCTAGGACATTATGTACAGGTAGATGATACACCTAGGACATTATGTAAAGGTAGATGTTACACCTTATGTACAGGTAGCCATACACCTAGGACATTATGTACAGGTAGCTACACACCTAGGACATTATGTACAGGTAGATGATACACCTAGGACATTATGTACAGGTAGATGTTACACCTAGGACATTATGTACAGGTAGATGTTACACCTAGGACATTATGTACAGGTAGATGTTACACCTAGGACATTATGTACAGGTAGATGATACACCTAGGACATTATGTACAGGTAGATGTTACACCTAGGACATTATGTACAGGTAGATGATACACCTAGGACATTATGTACAGGTAGATGTTACACCTACATATACCAAAATTAAAAACCATTTTGAAGCTTTTTATTTCCTGACTTACCTTGTCCTAACATGGATTCTGTGAGGAACGTATCCACTGGGTTTGTGTAGTTAAGGTTAGAAGATCGAGTCTGGTTGATACCTTTATCTGACAGTCGCCTCATCGGTACAGGTTTGGCTAGCAAATGTTGTTGTGAGGCCGCAACCATAGCCGCAACAGACATTGTCATGGGACCATGCTGTACATGGGATGTCATGTTTTTATGGTTTTGTGGACTTCCTGAAAACCAATAATTAATCTTAGTGATAGTTGAAAGTTTAATAGGCATTATGAGTCTTGTAAACCAAAAATGTTATATTAATTGATAAAGGGGAATTACGGTAAGTATGATGTATTGAAATTTATCAAAATTATTGAAACAGTTTGTGTCACACGAAAGATTTTATCGATCGTTTATACAAATATGAATCATCACATTATAAAAATAATACACAAAGAATTAACATAAAAAAGAACAAATTATGGGACAGTTTCAGATGGCCTCCCTTTATCATTATATGTCAATAGTTTAGACTGAGAGTAAACTTTAGAAGAAGTTCACTGGAAATACATTCTACTTCTACTATATTAACATTATGTCACTTGTGTAAAATTGGTTAAATCAGTGCTGACTATACTTGGTAAGGACCATTCCAAGACTCGACCAGAGCAATGCTAGTTGGTGCTTGACAAGTCTCAATATATAAACATCTGAATATTTTCATGAACACCTAGTCTGTTAATTAGTTTTTACGTATAATACATGGTTGCTTCATAGCGAGACTATAGATGCATGACACTGTGTTGAATTGTTTATAAAGCATACGAGTGCTGCTAGATGTTGCTGATAACCTGTTGCAATATTTCAAACCAACCAGAAACCTAGGATAGGTAGTAACAACTAGTTCCAAAGGCTGTGACAAAAGGCTGAAACCATAACTGTGTTTGGGGCTGAAACTGTTACTGTGTTTAAAGCTGCAATCGTTAAACCAAGTTTGGGGCTGAAATCGTAACTGTGTTTGAGGTTGAAACCGTACCTGTGTTTGAGGCTGAAACTGTAACTGTGCTTTAAGCTGAAACTGTAACTGTGTCAGTATCAGGGACTATAGAGGGTAAATCAGTATCAGGGACTATAGAGGGTAAATCAGTATCAGAGACTATAGAGGGTAAATCAGTATCAGGGACTATAGAGGGTAAATCAGTATCAGGGACTACAAAGGGTAAATCAGTATCAGGGACTATAGTGGGTAAATCAGTATCAGGGACTATAGAGGGTAAATCAGTATCAGGGACTATAGAGGGTACATCAGTATCAGGAACTATAGAGGGTAAATCAGTATCAGGGACTACAAAGGGTAAATCAGTATCAGGGACTACAAAGGGTAAATCAGTATCAGGGACTATAGAGGGTAAATCAGTATCAGGGACTATAGAGGGTAAATCAGTATCAGGGACTATAGAGGGTAAATCAGTATCAGGAACTACAAAGGGTAAATCAGTATCAGGGACTATAGAGGGTAAATCAGTATCAGAGACTATAGAGGGTAAATAAGTATCTGGGACTATAGAGGGTACATCAGTATCAGAGACTATAGAGGGTAAATCAGTATCAGGGACTATAGAGGGTAAATCAGTATCAGGGACTATAGAGGGTACATCAGTATCAGGGACTATAGAGGGTAAATCAGTATCAGGGACTATAGAGGGTAAATCAGTATCAGGGACTATAGAGGGTAAATCAGGGACTATAGAGGTTAAATCAGTATTAGGGACTATAGAGGGTAAATCAGTATCAGGGACTATAGAGGGTAAATCAGTATCAGGGACTATAGAGGGTAAATCAGTATCAGGGACTATAGAGGGTAAATCAGTATCAGGGACTATAGAGGGTAAATCAGTATCAGGGACTATAGAGGGTAAATCAGTATCAGGGACTATAGAGGGCAAATCAGTATCAGGGACTATAGAGGGTAAATCAGTATCAGAGACTATAGAGGGCAAATCAGTATCAGGGACTATAGAGGGTAAATCAGTATCAGGGACTATAGAGGGTAAATCAGTATCAGGGACTATAGAGGGTAAATCAGTATCAGGAACTACAAAGGGTAAATCAGTATCAGGGACTATAGAGGGTAAATCAGTATCAGGGACTATAGAGGGTAAATCAGTATCAGGAACTACAAAGGGTAAATCAGTATCAGGGACTATAGAGGGTAAATCAGTATCAGGGACTATAGAGGGTAAATCAGAATCGGGGACTAAAGAGTTTAATCAGTATCCGGGACTATAGAGGGTAAATCAGTATCAGGGACTATAGAGGGTAAATCAGTATCAGGGACTATAGAGTTTAATCAGTATCCGGGACTATAGAGGGTAAATCAGTATCAGGGACTATAGAGGGTAAATCAGAATTGGGGACTATAGAGTTTAATCAGTATCAGGAACTACAAAGGGTAAATCAGTATCAGGGACTATAGAGGGTATATCAGAATCGGGGACTATAGAGTTTAATCAGTATCAGGGACTATAGAGGGTATATCAGAATCGTGTACTATAGAGTTTAATCAGTATCAGGGACTATAGAGGGTATATCAGAATCGGGGACTATAGAGTTTAATCAGTATCAGGGACTATAGAGGGTAAATCAGAATCGGGGACTATAGAGGGTACATCAGTATCAGGGACTATAGAGGGTAAATCAGAATCGGGGACTATAGAGGGTATATCAGAATCGGGGACTATATTTGGTGAATTGGAATTGGGGAAATTTTTGGTTAATGCAGTGTTTGGGACTATGGTAGTTAAATTCTGGTTGTAATTTCAGCAGGATTGGGTAAAAGGATGTGCATTTTTCATATGTATATGCAGTATGGCTCAGGGAAAATTAAAGGGGAGTAACTCCTTATGTGTCCCTTTACCTGGTGGGGTTGGGGGTAACCCCTTTTCAGGTTTCATTGCGTAATTACTGTTGTGTGGTTCATAGAGACCTGCTGCTGCAGTAGTTGTCGTTGATAATGCCATTCCTTCTGTGTCATGGTCAGTAGACATATTCATCATCGGCACGGCAACGCCTTCCATATTGGCTGCATATTGATCCATATAAAACCCTGGGCCACCAGATGGCTTGCGTCCTGCAGATCCCCCGGCTGGAAATTAGGATTAATGCAACATAATTATTTTTTTATTTAAACCATTTTTCTCACAAACAAAAAGAAACACAATTGCAATAATTTCTTGAAAAGTGGGTAAAATTGCTTAGTGAATTTATGAAATTTTCTTACGTGTAGTGAACTATATGATTTTATAAATCAAGAAAGAAACATTAAAACATTCAAATTTACACCATACTCTTGTTCTCAGTAACATTTTTTCCCCATGGAGAGAAGTCCTATAGTTTAAAATAGCAATGTAATTGAAAAGTGAAAGTACAAAAGCTACTTATGTATATATAATAGGTCATTATTTATTCCAATGCCTCTGCTAGGACTTGAACCTCTTGCTTACTAGTCTGATGCTCAACTGATTGAGCTTAAGTTCTTTCTAGCCGAGTGCTATATTGCGACTAGTATTCACCAGGGTTAGGTATCAGCATTTCTGCTGAAACCGAATCACTAATACCTGCATACAAACACATGTATGTACTTGTATCTACATCTGAAGAAGAATAAAATATAGCTGATGTTGGATTATAACCTCTGAGGTCGTGTAAATCTGACAGCATGTTAAGCTATTTCTTAAAGTGTTAACTTACCATAAAATCTATATAAACACTTAAATTCTCATATGTACCTGCAGTCACATTTTCCCCCTACTCATTGGTATATGAAAATTTTGATTTCTTTTTTCCATTTCTTTTTTCCTATCAGGTAATTCCTGAAGTACATGATGAACATGTATATCTCATTTTCAACATTTCCATGACAAGTAATCTGAATGTACTGTAATTTTATAAAATCTCCTTGTACATGTACCATAAGTTCTTCAGGAAGACAGTGTAATGAACTTTCCACTCTATGAATGAATAAATTTGGGACACTTAAAAACAATACTTCAGAAAAATAAATCAAATCATTATTTTGTACAAGGAACATTCATTTTTGTTTGGTGATAAAAAAAATTAATGTTCAACTAACTTATTTTATTTCATTTTTACATTAATTATGGGAAACCAATTATGCTTAGCCTCACAGCAAATGTGGTAATGAATGGATTTTTTAAAGACTTACTAGAATAGTACTTCATACAAGTTCATTAACCCGTGCCTTAACCTATTATTTGAATGTATTGAAATGGGCAATAATGAGGAAAGGTAGAAAATGCATTTAATTAAATACTAAATGAGACAGTAAACCATTTTTGGGCAAACTGAAATAACAACATTAACAACAAAAATGGAAAAAATATTGGTATTGAGGTTTTGACACTGTTTCAATAAGTGTGAAAATAGCTATATTTTTAACACTTTTAAATACAATTTATGCTTTTAACTTAAAATGAAAAATCTAAATGAAAATAAGGCAACAATGTTGTTTATTGAACCTTTCCTATTAAATATATATCCCTTGTTTAAGGAAGAAATTTAAAAATGTAAACAATTGTGAAATCACATATCTTTATATATAATCATATTAAGTACAAAAATTAAAATATAGAATGGGGTTTTATTTTTTCCTGACAATAAGCATAAATTCCAACCTTGATCTTTAAAGAATAATAAATATTCTTTTAGTTCCCCGTTATCATTTTACAGGGACAAATTTCCATTTCGTAATCAGTATTTTATTGCAGTCTATGACTAATAAATATTATTACAACAATCAAACTATTAAACTTAACAATAACAGTAATCCGATGGCCTGCGGTCATTTTGACATTTTTTCTCGGTGACTACCCGCCTGGAAATCATCAACAATAATCACATTATATTACTACAAATGACGACTTTTTCATCCACTCGTGCTGTTAAAATCGTAAGTTCGATCATTTCGTCAGTATTTACGTAATATTTGTATATACCTTGTCGTTATGATACGTTATGTAACGCAGATGAAAGTGGATCAGCTATCAAATATACGCATAACCAACATGGCTACCGTTCAATGCACCCTACAAGGTCAATGGCCACACAATCCGAGTGACCATGAGGTGCGGTCAAGAAATTCTTACCGAAGTTTTCATTTTCTTCGTTATGACGAGAAGCGTAACTGGACATCTGACTCAAAAGTGAAGGATCCAGGTCAGGTGTAAAATCACAAAATGCATCTTCCGCCATTGTGTAATGCACAAATAGTTTGGTCAGGATCCACCATCACCCGTAAACACTTGCTTTGTTACGTCACGGACACTGACACAAGCCCATGTCCAGGCTGCGCAATAGGGCGAGTCCATCTTATTCATGGGGGCGGTGTTTACAACTGACCACTAAACAAATTGCGGTAAACTTGTGTTTTCGCGGTAACTGTACATTTAGCACGTGCTTTGGTTACGTATGTTGCATAAATTATAGTTTTGTGGATATGCATTTTAAATAAATTTCGTCAAAGTATTGTTTAATGTTTATCTCTAACTTGTTACTATAAATAGTCTTATAGTACACACGGCCGATATAGTCAGTACCGTTCCGCTCCCTTGGTTTCTTGACCAATCACGTGACCTGTCGTAAAGAGTAGGCGTATGGAGTGATTGTCATAGACTTGCTCAGGTCAGTCGACGTGTCTGTTTGCCTGTTTAGGTCTATCGTAGTCAAACACAGACTCTTATCTAGTCAGTGATCGAATTGAGAAAGCGTTTCGGTACATTAGATATAAGCGTTTGATACTTATTTTTAAGCTTACTTGTAGAGGTTGAAGTAGGTATAAGTACTCGTCATTAAAACATCACAAGTATTTAGTTATTTTATCAGCGATGGTATTAAATCGATTTTATTTGGCCCTTGTCATTTTCTTGATTTTGTTACATACTAAGATTTTATAGGAGGACGTCCTTGAGTTTGTTTTCTCCCTATCACATTCTTCATCTTATTTCTGCATTTGACATAAAACTTTTATTTAAGTGCCTGCAGTAAATTGATACATCTCTCTTCAGGATTTTTTCCGATATTCATTTTGTAAATTGTTAGTCCGTGTAAGCCGTCATGACATTAACTGCCTTCTTGTCACATTGACACTATTCACTTCTATTATGATGAATTCGTTCTATATGGTAATTTGCCGTCCCGGGGGTATGTCTGTGCAGGAAGACGCCCCCGGGACAATCTAAGATCAGGAAGTACCCAACTACCTGTAGTAACCGTTGCAATTATGACTACGTGTGTAAACACGAGTTTGGAATAGATTCTGCTCCGTGGTGAAACTGAGAAACGAGCTTACACGTGGATTTGAGATAATCTTTTGTTAAAAGTTTGACGACATATATGTTCTGATATCATTACAATAAAAAACCAGACAGCGGGAGGAGGATATGATGGGAATAGGAAACGATACGTACCGGAGACCTCCGAACCCGTACCTCCGAACCCGAGACCTCCGAACCGCCAAGACAGACGCCACAACCAATTTGTATTATGTCATATCTAACATCGCTTCTGTATAATGAGAATGCCCTTTTCCGGATTCGCTTTAGTTTCAATTTTATTATTAACATTTTACATAAAATCTGGTACATTCTGACGAGTTCGTGTTTACCATCTACTCGGTGACGTTTCCCCTGCATTAGCTGAATTGGGGTAAGAAGCATATTCCAGGGAGATAATCTTATCAACATTTATATGTAGCACAGAATCCTAGACATAAAGACTTTACCGTCTCCAAATAGGTTACAGGAAATTCGAATTTTTAAAACACTAGAAGATTTGGGAATTTTCAAAATCTTTAATATTCTGGGTATAAGATTATGATAAGTATTGAAGTACTGAAGATAGTGAAAAGACGGGGAATTTTTAGGGCTTGGTATCATCATCGGGAATAGCAATGAAGCATTTGTTTTAGCTTTTATTAGGTTTTTTAACAATGCGATTTGAAAATTTGGGGTGGGGGTGGGGGCTGGGGAGGGGGGGGGGCGTAAATGTCCGAAAAGTCCGGAAAAATAAACACCAATGTCTATCTACTTGAAACATAGCACAGTTACCTTGTATAAATAAACATGGGCTTGTTAAAATGGCAACTTCAGTCATTACACTAACATTTACTCTACAGTCTCAGTCGCCATTCACTCCTACACTGATCCGCAGTGACACACACAAAGGTAGTGTGACTCACGTGTCTTTACCGAGTTCCTCGACCACTCCCACCAGCAGAATTCCTCTGTGATATCACTGCTAGTTCTCTGCATTCAATCATAACACAGACATTTCCACAGAGGTTTGTAACTACTTGTTAAGAAATAATAACGTCTCGTACAGTTGGAATATGGAATTAATAAATTATCAAAATGTTTAACCGTCCCATCACATCAATGTTTAACCGTCCCATCTCATCAATGTTTCACCGCGCCATCACATCAATGTTTCACCGCCCCATCTCATCAATGTTTTCACCGCCCCATCTCATCAATGTTTCCCGTTCGATTAGGATTGAAGTATCCACCTCGTGTTCTTATGCTCTACTGATTGACCCTATCAACCAGAGGTCAGAATATTGACATGGCTGATTTTTCAGTTTGTTCTGTTTTTTTTTTCTTGGTGAATTATCGACATCACTGATAATGTAAATGTATTTTGTGTTTATTAGTGAGTCACCCTTTATTATCAGAAGGACGGATAAATCATCCGATGAGATGAGATTTTGAAGATCAGATTGATATTTGCCATAATTAATTATTGAAATGTAATCGCCATTCCGGGCGGGATTACGTAACTAGGATTCCTTTTGTCTCATTGCCCTGTAATGAAACTTGGAAATCGATGGCATACTGTCACAACGGCGACGCCAGACCATGACACCACCTCTGGCTGGGAATGTAACGATATGCATATTTCATCACTGAAAGAAATATTCTATGCATACCGATACATATTTTTCCAAAATGGGCGTCGTTTTTTTGTTTATTTTTTTTAAAATTACAAATTCAAATATTTTCGCGTGACAGGATGCATACCAGAGACGTGTTATATAGTCTCTGCTTATAACAAACACGTATATAATATGAAAATGAGATTAATGCAACTTGCCTTTCACCTAGTCACCTAGGTGTTATGGGTTCGATTCATTTACCCTTGTGACCCCTTCCTTACCCTAAAACCAACTTATTTCAATAGTTATTATTGTGTGTATATATATAACCAGAACGATTAGAGTGTACAAAATAGTTTTGTCTGTACGTTTTACACATGAAAATGAAGAAAAATCAATTCATGAAAGATATGCAATGTGTAGTAGGAGTCTAAGCACAAAAGGGACATGACATGTGTGTAATATAATTTGTGATGTTGTGGGTGAGGGGGAGGGAGAGGGGGAGAGAGAGTCTCCCCTCACCATTGACTAGCTTATACCACGTGCTGATAGTATACGTTCCAGACTGATTTTTATACATTAATCAAATGAAACAACAGTACCCGCGGTATACAAGCGATAAAGTTATCTCTGGGCTATCAGTGAATTATGAACAGAAATTATGCTATCGTACACACTGGGCGAAAGTCTCAAAGTATGATTCACAGCAGAGCATACAAACTACCTCTCTCCTTTCCCCAGTAATATATTCTCAGTCAGCCTCCGGTTGCAGACACGAGAGAGTGTTTTTCACGCGAGTTTGTGTGTGCATGTTCTTCTACATTAACAAGCGCGTGTTTTAAGAAAGTGAAGCTCGTCTACGTGAGTTCCAGCCGCTGAATCAGACTGTGTGTTTACAGGGATATTACGATATAAACCCTTTGGTAAGTACATCACAGCAGGAATATCACGCATACAACTTTAATGTAGATCAAAGAAATAGTCCAGGTGATCGAATTCAGGGAACTTGTACTTAGGAATGAATTGAAATGTAACATTTAATGAAATTATAGAAGTTTTTAAAATGTCTTTTTGGTGGATATATCGTTCAATATAGTATCCATATTTGGAATGAGCGCGCATTCTTCCGGTTTCTTTGGGAAATAAAGTTGTTACCTGTAGGAATCAATGGAGCTTATACTCTCAGTTCACTTGAATTTAAATATCAAAAATCTTAATTACTGTGAAAATACCCTAAATTACAGGGGATTCATGTAAGAATATTGGGTAAAACAAATACTACGTGATGAAAAGTTCGGACAGATCTCCATGGTTTTCTGTCTGCCTGTAAAATGAAAGAAGACGATATCGACATGGACAGATTATACGGGTCACTATATAAACAACGCTCACCTCCCAATATATCGTCACTCCGCAGGATGCTTCTCTTTATATAATGTACCTCTCTGTATAATGTACCTCTCTGTATAATGTACCTATCTCTATATAATGTACCTCTCTATATAATGTACCTCTCTGTATAATGTACCTCTCTGTATAATGTACCTATCTATATAATGTACCTCTCTATATAATGTACCTCTCTGTATAACCTACCTCTCTGTATAATGTACCTCTCTATATAATGTACCTCTCTGTATAATGTACCTCTCTATATAATGTACCTCTCTGTATAATGTACAACTCTATATAATGTACCTGTCTATATAATGTACATCACTATATAATGTACATCTCTATATAATCTACATCTCTATATAATGTACCTCTCTATATAATGTACCTGTCTATATAATGTACCTATCTCTGTATAATGTACCTCTCTGTATAATGTACCTCCCTGTATAATGTACACCTCTATATAATGTACCTGTCTATATAATGTACCTCACTATATAATGTACCTCTCTATATAATGTACCTCTCTATATAATGTACCTCTCTGTATAATGTACCTGTCTATATAATGTACCTCTCTATATAATGTACCTGTCTATATAATGTACCTATCTCTGTATAATGTACCTCTCTGTATAATGTACCTCCCTGTATAATGTACACCTCTATATAATGTACCTGTCTATATAATGTACCTCTCTATATAATGTACCTGTCTGTATAATGTACCTCCCTGTATAATGTACCTCTCTGTATAATGTACCTGTCTATATCATGTACCTCTCTGTATAATGTACATCTCGATATAATGTACCTCTCTATATAATGTACTTATCTCTATATAATGTACCTCTCTGTATAATGTACCTCTCTATATAATGTACCTCTCTATATAACGTACCTCTTTGTATAATGTACCTCTCTTTATAATGTACTTATCTCTATATAATGTACCTCTCTATGTAATGTACCTATCTCTATATAATGTACCTCTCTATATAATGTACCTCTCTATGTAATGTACCTATCTCTATATAATGTACCTCTCTATATAATGTACCTCTCTATATAACATACCTCTCTATATAATGTACCTCACTGCATAATGTACCTCTCTATATAATGTACCTCCCTGTATAACGTACCTCTCTGTATAATGTACCTATCTATATAATGTACCTCTCTATATAATGTACCTCTCTATATAATGTACCTCTCTATATAATGTACCTCCCTGTATAACGTACCTCTCTGTATAATGTACCTATCTATATAATGTACCTCTCTATATAATGTACCTCTCTATATAATGTACCTCTCTATATAATGTACCTCCCTGTATAACGTACCTCTCTGTATAATGTACCTATCTATATAATGTACCTCCCTGTATAATGTACCTCTCTGTATAATGTACCTATCATTATAACGTACCTCTCTGTATAATGTTATATACCTGTCTATATGGTGTATCTCTCTTTATGATATTCTTTCCTTGTAATGTACCTCTCATCCTCATATTCTCTATGTAACCCTCTGTATATAAAGTACACATAACGTACCTCTGTATATAATATATCTCTCTGTATGATGTACCTCTCCGTATGATATACCTATCTGTATTATAATCCTTGTAATATACTGTCCTCCCTATACAATGTCCCTCTCTATATACTGTACCTCCCTATATAATGTCCCTCTCTATATACTGTCCTCCCTATACAATGTCCCTCTTTATATACCTACCTATACAATGTCCCTCTCTATATACTGTACCTCCCTATAAAATGTCCCTCTCTATATACTGTCCTCCCTATACAATGTCCCTCTCTATATACTGTCCTCCCTATACAATGTCCCTCTCTATATACTGTACCTCCCTATACAATGTCCCTCTCTATATACTGTACCTCCCTATACAATGTCCCTCTCTATATACTGTACCTCCCTATACAATGTCCCTCTCTATATACTGTACCTCCCTATACAATGTCCCTTTCTATATATTGTACCTCCCTATACAATGTCCCTCTCTATATACTGTACCTCCCTATACAATGTCCCTCTCTATATACTGTACCTCCCTATACAATGTCCCTCTCTATATACTGTACCTCCCTATACAATGTCCCTTTCTATATACTGTACCTCCATATACAATGTCCCTCTCTATATACTGTACCTCCCTATACAATGTCCCTCTCTATATACTGTACCTCCCTATACAATGTCCCTTTCTATATACTGTACCTCCCTATACAATGTCCCTCTCTATATACTGTACCTCCCTATACAATGTCCCTCTCTATATACTGTCCTACCTATACAATGTCCCTTTCTATATACTGTACCTCCCTATACAATGTACCTCTCTATATACTGTCCTACCTATACAATGTCCCTATCTATATAATGTACCTCCCTATACAATGTCCCTCTCTATATACTGTACCTCCCTATACAATGTCCCTCTCTATAAACTGTACCTCCCTATATAATGTCCCTATCTATATACTGTACCTCCCTATACAATGTCCCTCTCTATATACTGTACCTCCCTATACAATGTCTCTCTCTATATACTGTACCTCCCTATACAATGTCCCTCTCTATATACTGTACCTCCCTATACAATGTCCCTCTCTATATACTGTACCTCCCTATACAATGTCCCTTTCTATATACTGTACCTCCCTATACAATGTCCCTCTCTATATACTGTACCTCCCTATACAATGTCCCTCTCTATATACTGTACCTCCCTATACAATGTCCCTTTCTATATACTGTCCTACCTATACAATGTCCCTATCTATATACTGTACCTCCCTATACAATGTCCCTCTCTATAAACTGTACCTCCCTATATAATGTCCCTATCTATATACTGTACCTCCCTATACAATGTCCCTCTCTATATACTGTCCTCCCTATACAATGTCCCTCTCTATATACTATACCTCCCTCTCTTTATGACATATCTCTCCGTATGATATACCTTTCATTATATAACTTGAATTACATATATGATATATATCAGACAAGTGCCTCTGTATAAATTGTAGCTTGATTTTAAACACTTATGTCTCTATAGTGCACGTGTGATATAAGAGCATTGATGTTTTGTTTGAATTATGACAAGTGCGTGTTACGTCGTTTTATAGACAAAACACGGATATGTGTACCCTGATAAAAGTGATTAAATTTCCGTGATAACATCCTCACGATTTCCGCTACACACCAAACCCAGTGATATCACCGAATAACTAAAATTATGGAAATGTCCAAGGTTTGTTTACTCAACAACCGAGATAAAGTATCACTCTGTGATCTAGATAACTGACTTACTTTTGATACCGCGCATTTCATTTACAATTTTCATATCAAATATTTACATCAGACAAGTACCTGCATTAAAATGTTTCTGATTGCCCGTAAAATGTTTATTTTGACGAGAAATATAAACATTTCTTTATCTTGCCGATCTTTTTGAAACCTCGATGTTTTTAGTTTGCTCCTCAAAGCAGAAGAACTTGAGAACTTTTTTTTCTTTTTTCTTCTTTTTTCTAAACGTTGTTCCAAATTGGCAATTATAGATGTATATGTTTTTGTTCACGTCGTTATGCTTGCCAAGAATGTAATTACGTTTTGAAGTCACGTGGTGTTCTGGACGGGATATTGTAATAAGTTTGATTACAGTTGGCCACGTGCTAATTCAAATGGATAACATGAAAGCACATCTATTGAAGTCAAAATCTATGCGCATCTGCATGTTAGACATGTACTAAGTAATGTACTCCCAAATGTGGCTATCCGATCAGGTTAATAATACCCAGTTACCTTTGGCCTTCCTAGCCAATTACACAACCACACGTCTCTCGATGACTGTCACAAATTTTGTTGTGAGTTTGCATGACTTGTAAATTGGTAATCTAGAATTTTTACGACACATGCAGAATGCAACCAATTCCTCCAGGGAAAATTTTTGTTTGAAAGCCTTCAACATTTCCAGCTACTGCACACAACGTTATTTCGTGTATATCATGAGTTCAATATGAAATGGATTTTTTTATAACGACTAGTCGCGATGGGTGGAAAGTTCAACAGCTGTTGTACACTGTGTAAACTACTGAGCTCGGGTTTGAATCACATCCTTTAAATAACATCGTTAGTCAACAGCTGATCATTAGAGTTGCCTCCTAAGACCGCCTTGTAAATCCAATAACGTATATTGTGCACGTGCACGTGTGTGTGCGCTGCAGACTTATGAACTATTCATAACAGCGGCAGGGATTTAAGTGTCACACATGACACCTCTCTACTCTGGTGTGGAGAAACTCGTGCTTCACTTTAAACATAACAGTCATTTACATAACCATCAGCGTGGGTACTAAATGTATTACTCACATTACGGTCAAAAGCTCTGTCGGAATGCTCCAGACGAGAGCATCACTGCTCAGCACGCGCTATTTAAACGTCTTCTGTTGGTGACCTATTGGTGTTACAAAAGATTAGACCCGACATCTCGGAGAGACTAAGGAAATTCCGCAGTTAACGGTTTTAAACAATCGGGGTTATCTTTTTGTTACGTTGTCGCCTTCGCTTGATACAGATAATTTTAGTGAATGAATTGTAAAAACACCAATTATTACAGTTACGAGTGCATCATGTGACTTTGCACTAATATGTAACTATCGAATACCCCTAACCATAAACATTACATTTTGAAATTGCATAATCTAATAACGAATTGCCATTTTTGTTTTGCTACGAGAACGTGCGGGATCACTGTTACCATACACAGAAAAATTAAATATCTTTATATAGCACTACGTGTTACCTGTGACAGTCGAAAATTATTTTTTGCAGAAATATGTATCGATTTTTTAATAAACATTTTTGATAGTTGTAACAAGCAATTATAATGGTCTGAATATGACTGCTTTCCTGCACTTGCAACTCGTCCAGGTAGCCAACAGTGAAAAAAATGTTTAAAAAAAAACTCACTGATCACGAAAGCAATGTTTTAGTCTGTAAAGGTTGAAAGTTTGTCCAGACTTGCTGAACACGTCATATGAGAAGCACAATATTGCTGAAGTTAGTAAGTATACCATCTTGTAAAAGATAACTCTCGGCCTCCAACATGTAGCTTTAATATTGTCGTAACGATATTGTAGACATTTTATTCTCAAAACAAGTATTGAGTAAAGGTCATTCACATCTTTAATGAAAATCCGAGGACTCCAGGAGTTATTTCCCTTTACTTACATCTTGTATGTGCGATAGATATACTACTGACCCCAGCTGAAAACGGAACCAGGGTCCATTTCCAACGTTAAAAACGTGAAAACGTTGAAAATGGACTTTGGAAGAGGGTTGATTTAACTTAACACTGTAAGATGTGCAAAAGAAATTTATACAATATTGAGTGATATTGATGACTTATTTGACCTGTGACCTTTGGAGACCTGTTCATTGGCCTTTGACACAGCTTTGCATTGTAACGATATGCAAAAGAAAACTATGCAATATATATAGATATTAATGATATGTTTGACCTGTAACCTTTGGTGACCTATATATCGCCATTTGGCCATCAGAAAATTGTTGGGAATGGATGACAATGTGCCGTATGGACATTTGTTAGGCAATTAAAAGTAGATCATACTGATAAGCATTGATGGCCAATCTACCAGTCACCTTGGATGACTTTTACAAAACTATTTTAAACCCCATGTAGAAGTGGACAAATTACTTAAGTTTGTTAGTTTTCATATACTGGGAGTTTTTCTCTTTCTCTGGAGAAATATTGATATCATCTGATATGAACTCTTTTACTACCAATAAGATTGGTGATATATCTATTTGCCTGAACATAAATCTGCAGTGTAATCATATGTGGAATTAAATGTGTAATCTTCAGTGGCCTATAGTTGTGAGAGTTGAAGTGTAATGACAAAAGCGAAGATTATTCCCAGTGTCACAGGGCCGAATGTACATGAGATCTTTAATTGCCGATCTGTTAAGACAGTGGCCTGAGTGGAACATTGAAAAAATATGTCGACGACATTTTATATCTTTTGGTCTTACATTTTCGACAACTGAGGAATGGCAGGCTTTATTTTATTCTCTTTCACGTTGGATATAAGGACGGAGAAGCCATGTGCACTTGTCTCGTTGTGTATTACCGGAATTCAGTGTTGACATATCAGTATGCGGAGTCTGTGTTGTGTATTACCGGAAGTCAGTGTTGTGTTGACAGTCTGTGTTGTGTATTACCGGAAGTATGCAGAGTCTGTGTTGTGTATTACCGGAAGTCAGTGTTGACATATCAGTATGCAGAGTCTGTGTTGTGTATTACCGGAAGTCAGTGTTGACATATCAGTATGCAGAGTCTGTGTTGTGTATTACCGGAAGTCAGTGTTGACATATCAGTATGCGGAGTCTGCGTTGTGTATTACCGGAAGTCAGTGTTGACATATCAGCATGCGGAGTATGTGTTGTGTATTACCGGAAGTCAGTGTTGACATATCAGTATGCGGAGTCTGTGTTGTGTATTACCGGAATGTTGATGTTTACGAAGCATACCTTACGATAACACAATTACTTATCCGTAATGAAAAGGATGGTCTTCACAATTATCTTACCATAACGTGTAGTAAAGGCCGTTATTGTTTAACAAAGTACATCTACCTACATTCCGTGCTCCGCATACCGATCGCATGAAGGACAGTTTGTGGCAGCTGGCGAAATGTCGCGTGAAAACTGCACTCGCGGAGATCGTAATTACCTGGTTTGTGTTTATTATTGTGTGACGAGGAACATGAAACCAGAGAAGCCTATGTGTTATATGTATATGATAATGTCATAAAACGATTAGGGGATGAATTCTGATTTTATTTCCTATTAATTCAATATATATATATAACAAGATGACGGCACACTCGTGTACCGTTGGCGATCGAGGAAAATTTATCTCTCCGGAAATCAAACAGTTTTACAAATACCTAAAGGAAACTCGATACGATAAGGTACTTTAATTATGTTAACAATACATCTTTTGATGACGCTAGCGTCTTTGAGTATTTTATGCAATAGTGTCTGAAAACGCGCCATGATTACCTACGGTATTTGTATAAAACAGTATAATCGCAGGGACTCGGTCATTTTTCATTCGTGAAAATGAAACTTCGTATATTAATGTATTAACCATATTAAGTATATGTGTTTTAATGTCACGTAATGTTCAAAAAATATATATAATTGAAGACGCTGACGTCGAGTGTGATACATATGTATACTGAAAATCTAACTCTCCGTCAATTTGGGGGAAAAACATAACTATATTGATTATTTTTAGATATATTTTCTCAACAGCCTTTATGATTCTTACTGTTGCTGATTAAACTTCCTGTCGACTTTTCGATGGACCGCCAAGATGTAAATGATCCCATAATTCTGTGCGCTCCGCCATATTGTCCTGCCTTCGAGGATCCTCCAGTGCAATGCTAGTTCCTGACTGGTGCAATCTCAATCTAGATATTTTCATGAGCACTTTATTTGTCAGCTTGGACTGTATTCAAAGATGGCATCTTTGTTTATAGTATACGATTGCCGCTAGGGGTCGCTGATAAATCAGGAAGCTGGGATAGGTATTGATGGGCTGAAACCGTAACTGTGTGACGTTTAGCCAAAAAATGTGTCATACAACCACTCTTTATCGAATTATAATAACAGATGGTACAGAATATAAGCTGAGTCTTGACTTTAACCAGTTGACTATCTTCAAGAACCCTCTTTGAAAAGAAATTTTGAGTTTTTTCTAAACAGTTTGAAACACGTAGTCAACATATAATCTGTCAATACCTGTATTAAGTACGTAAGACCAAACCTCAGACGTATGTAATGCAAGTGCCATCTTCTGTAATATATCCATATACATTACGTAATGCTACGTGCGAACATGATTTCATTTTAAAAGTTTCCGGATATTATCACTACAGAGAATAATGACAGTAAATGAGTATGTGTGGTCTCGTTATACCGGGGTGGCTGATACTGGCTTGTGTTACATTGTTTTCACTTATAACTGTTTTCTACGCTGATGTAATTTCAAGATCATAATCAATTATCAAAACGTAATAAAAGAATTACCGTTCAGTTTCCATGGCGACCCAAAGGTTATCCAGTATACAATGAACTATTTTAAACTGTGTAAAAAGCACATTGCATATCAGCTACATGTTTATAAAATGTAGCTATTCAAAACGGGAAAATAACTGAGAAATATGACGCCAACAACTGTTTTATTAGATTAATGATGAAACGAAATAATTTTATATTATAACCACTAGTATAGTGAACTTCCTACCCGCCCCAATGTTCTTGATCCGTTCAGATTCAACAAATATGCTTGAAACCCATAAAATTGTTAACTGAAATCCACGATAGAAGTGACCATGCTTGGCAATGCAAGCTTGTACACTTTACAACAGCCACCGAATGTCCATTATAAATATAGATATGGTAACATGACCTTATTAAGTTTATAGTCCATTTTCTTATTTGTGTTTTACAGAAAAAATCCAGCAATGACAGAATCAACATGGCAACCCTGGGCAGATAACGTCACCCTCCAACCAAAAGGAAACGCCGTGTTTCACGCGGCCATATTTGGCTTTGACGGAGCGCTATGGGGTAGGAGTTCGAAAGATAACCGGGGACCGACCCCTCAGGAAGGTGTTGCCCTCGCTTACATACTGTCGAGTGAAGAAAAACGAGATTTAGCTCTACAAAATGGAATTTATTACTGTAACTGCAAATTCAATGTCATCTTCGCTGAAAATGGCGAGGTTAAGGCAGTGAAGGGGGCACGGGATAATTGCCCTTCGGAACTCCTTGTCGTCAAACGTTGTAAGATGTGTTTCATTTTAGCTATAGGGAACGGAGAAAGAAGAGGTGATGTAGTGGATTCACTATTTAAAACAGCTAATAGCCTTACAGATGCTGGATATTAACAACGTTGCCATAGTAATATGATGTCATTTAAATTTATGTAGGGAATTTATCACCATTTCCAACGAAGAATTGCCGTCTGCGAGAGAGTTCGAAGGCCTAGTTAAGTGTAAGCTAACGTGGTGTTCAGAGTAATTGACGTGTGTTTGGGAAATTGACATCTTCGAAGTGTTTAAAAAAAATAAACATGTTACTCAGCTGAAGGACAACCGTCCCAGGGTCGTAATCGCATGTTGTGGAGTTAGGGCGACATTCATCGGAATGGTGCATATACACATTAATGGAGCATACTTTTATGTTCGTCTGAATATGATGTTTGTGTATAAGTGAACGCTTATAGTCTATTTTCATATCGTCATTGTGCGTGATACTACACTGCCAAGTCCTTACCATCCTGATCATTGATATATGGTGCTTTAAATGTGTTTGGTATATTGTACTTGATAATGCATTTTGTCAAATTAAAAAGATGTATAATTCAGAAAATAGATTTTCAAAATATTCAGTGCTATGGATATTAAAGGTTCGTTTTCTGCTTAAGATAATCGAGTACTTCAATGTATTACATAGGAAACATATTGAACACAAACATCAAACGAAAAAAACCAATGGCGATTAGCGACGAATTCAAGAAACCCTGAGATCCAACCTAACAACCTACTGCTATTTACTTCAAGTCAAAACTAATCCTGATGCCATCCTTTACAACCTTCTCCTAGTAGCCCGGTTGTCTTTCCTTACCTACTGGTTAGAGTAACTAAGATTTCAGCCCTAACAACATTTCCTTTGTAACTCCTTTCTTACACACCTGATATCCACCCCACTACAACCTATCCCTAATAACCCTGATATCCACCCCACTACAACTTACCCCTAGTAACACTGATATCCACCCCGCTATAACCTACCCCTAGTAACCCTGATATCCACCCCACTAAAACCTATCTCTAGTAACCCTGATATCCACCCCACTACAACCTATCTCTAGTAACCCTGATATCCACCCCACTACAACCTATCTCTAGTAACCCTGATATCCACCCCACTACAATCTATCCCTAGAAACCCTGATATCCACCCCACTACAACCTATCCCTAGTAACACTGATATCCACCCCACTACAGCCTATCCCTAGTAACCCTGATATCCATCCCACTACAACCTATCCCTAGAAACCCTGATGTCCACTACTTTGACATACCCTAAGCAAGCCTGATGTCCACCCTTACAACCTCTCCCTAGAAACAAAGCTGTTGACCCTTTAACCTAGCCCTGGTAACCCTTCATTACAACCTACCCTTCGTTGCTCTTATGTCTTCCCTTACAAATTATCCTTAGTAACCGTTTTGTCATCGCTTTTAACCTACCCCTAGAAACCCTGACGTCTCTCCTTACAATGCCTATAGTAACCAAGATGTTCGCTCCTACAAGCTTTAATCATGCTTGGTTTCTCCTGTACAACCTATTCCTAGTAACCCTGATACCCACTCCACTACTACCTATCCCTAGTAACCCTGATGTCCACTACTTTGGCATACCCTAAGCAAGCCTGATGTCCACCCTTACAACCTCTCCCTAATAACCAGGCTGTTGACCCTTTAACCTAGCCCTGGTAACCCTTCATTACAACCTACCCTTCGTTGCTCTTATGTCCTCGCTTACAAATTATCCTTAGTAACCGTTATGTCATCGCATTTAACCTACCCCTAGAAACCCTGACGTCTCTCCTTGCAATCCCTATAGTAACTAAGATGTTCGCTCCTACAAGCTTTAATCATGCTTGGTTTCTCCTGTACAACCTATTCATAGTAACATTGATATCTTCATTTACAACCTACGCCTAGTACACCTGATGTCCTTTAAAAAGTATCCCTAGTAACCCTGATATCCACCCCACTACAACCTATCCCTAGTAACCCAGATATCCACCCCACTACAGCCTATCCCTAGTAACCCTGATATCCACCCCACTACAACCTATCCCTAGAAACCCTGATTTCCACTACTTTGACATACCCTAAGCAAGCCTGATGTCCACCCTTACAACCTCTCCCTAGAAACAAACCTGTTGACCCTTTAACCTAGCCCTGGTAACCCTTCATTACAACCTACCCTTCGTTGCTCTTATATCTTCCCTTACAAATTATCCTTAGTAACCGTTTTGTCATCGCTTTTAATCTACCCCTAGAAACCCTGACGTCTCTCCTTACAATGCCTATAGTAACCAAGATGTTCGCTCCTACAAGCTTTAATCATGCTTGGTTTCTCCTGTGCAACCTATTCCTAGTAACAGTGATATCCTCATTTACAACCTACGCCTAGTACACCTGATGTCCTTTAAAATGTATCCCTAGTAACCCTGATATCCACCCCACTGCAACTTATCCCTAGAAACCCTGATATCCACCCCACTACAACCTATTCCTAGTAACCCAGATATCCACCCCACTAAAACCTATCCCTAGTAACCCTGATATCCACCCCACTTCCACCTATCTCTAGTAACCCTGATATCCACCCCACATCAACCTATCCCTAGAAACCCTGATGTCCACTACTTTGACATACCCTAAGCAAGCATGATGTCCACCCTTACAACCTCTCCCTAGTAACCAGGCTGTTGACCCTTTAACCTAGCCCTGGTAACCCTTCATTACAACCTACCCTTCGTTGCTCTTATGTCCTCCCTTACAAATTATCCTTAGTAACCGTTTTGTCATCGCTTTTAACCTACCCCTAGAAACCCTGACGTCTCTCTTTACAATCCCTATAGTAACCAAGATGTTCGCTCCTACAAGCTTTAATCATGCTTGGTTTCTCCTGTACAACCTATTCCTAGTAACCCTGATACCCACTCCACTACTACCTATCCCTAGTAACCCTGATGTCCACTACTTTGGCATACTCTAAGCAAGCCTGATGTCCACCCTTACAACCTCTCCCTAGTAACCAGGCTGTTGACCCTTTAACCTAGCCCTGGTAACCCTTCATTACAACCTACCCTTCGTTGCTCTTATGTCCTCACTTACAAATTATCCTTAGTAACCGTTATGTCATCGCATTTAACCTACCCCTAGAAACCCTGACGTCTCTCCTTGCAATCCCTATAGTAACTAAGATGTTCGCTCCTACAAGCTTTAATCATGCTTGGTTTCTCCTGTACAACCTATTCATAGTAACATTGATATCTTCATTTACAACCTACGCCTAGTACACCTGATGTCCTTTAAAAAGTATCCCTAGAAACCCTGATATCCACCCCACTGCAACTTATCCCTAGAAACCCTGATATCCACCCCACTACAACCTATCTCTAGTAACCCTGATATCCATCCCACATCAACCTATCCCTAGAAACCCTGATGTCCACTACTTTGACATACCCTAAGCAAGCCTGATGTCCACCCTTACAACCTCTCCCTAGAAACAAAGCTGTTGACCCTTTAACCTAGCCCTGGTAACCCTCCATTACAACCTACCCTTCGTTGCTCTTATGTCCACCCTTACAAATTATTCTTAGTAACCGTTTTATCATCGCCTTTAACCTACCCCTAGAAACCCTGACGTCTCTCCTTGCAATCCCTATAGTAACCAAGATGTTCGCTCCTACAACCTTTAATCATGCTTGGTTTCTGCTGTACAACCTATTCATAGTAACAGTGATATCCTCATTTACAACCTACGCCTAGTACACCTGATGTCCTTTAAAATGTATCCCTAGTAACCCTGATATCCACCCCACTGCGACTTATCCCTAGAAACCCTGATATCCACCCCACTACAACCTATTCCTAGTAACCCAGATATCCACCCCACTTCCACCTATCTCTAGTAACCCTGATATCCACCCCACATCAACCTATCCCTAGAAACCCTGATGTCCACTACTTTGACATACCCTAAGCAAGCCTGATGTCCACCCTTACAACCTCTCCCTAGTAACCAGGCTGTTGACCCTTTAACCTAGCCCTAGTAACCCTTCATTACAACCTACCCTTCGTTGCTCTTATGTCCTCCCTTACAAATTATCCTTAGTAACCGTTTTGTCATCGCCTTTAACCTACCCCTAGAAACCCTGACGTCTCTCCTTACAATGCCTATAGTAACCAAGATGTTCGCTCCTACAACCTTTTATCTTGCTTGGTTTCTCCTGTACAACCTATTCATAGTAACATTGATATCCTCATTTACAACCTACGCCTAGTACACCTGATGTCCTTTAAAACGTATCTTTAGTAACCCCGATATCCACCCCACTGCAACCTATCCCTAGTAACCCTGATATCCACCCCACTATAACCTATCCCTAGTAACCCTGATATCCACTCCACTACAACCTATCCCTAGTAACCCTGATATCCACTCCACTACAACCTATTCCTAGTAACCCTGATATCCACCCCACTACAACCTATCCCTAATAACCCTGATATCCACCCCACTACAACCTATCTCTAGTAACCCTGAAATCCACCCTACTACAACCTATCCCTAGTAACCCTTATATCCACCCCACTACAATCTACCCCTAGTAAGCCTGATATCCACCTCATTACAACCTATCCCTAGTAACCCTGATCACCACCTCACTACAACCTATCCCTAGTAACCCTGATATCCAGCCAACTACAACCGATCCCTAATAACCCTGATACCCACCCTACTACAACCTATCCCTAGTAACACTGATATCCACCTCACTACAACCTATCCCTAGTAACCCTGATATCCACTCCACTACAACCTATCCCTAGTAACCCTGATATCCACCCCGCTACAACCTATCCCTAGTAACCCTGATATCCACTCCACTACAACCTATTCCTAGTAACCCTGATATCCACCCCACTACAACCTATCCCTAATAACCCTGATATCCACCCCACTACAACCTATCTCTAGTAACCCTGAAATCCACCCTACTACAACCTATCCCTAGTAACCCTGATCACCACCTCACTACAACCTATCCCTAGTAACCCTGATATCCAGCCAACTACAACCGATCCCTAATAACCCTGATACCCACCCTACTACAACCTATCCCTAGTAACACTGATATCCACCTCACTACAACCTATCCCTAGTAACCCTGATATCCACTCCACTACAACCTATCCCTAGTAACCCTGATATCCACCCCGCTACAACCTATCCCTAGTAACCCTGATATCCACCTCACTACAACCTATCCCTAGTAACCCTGATATCCAGCCAACTACAACCGATCCCTAATAACCCTGATACCCACCCTACTACAACCTATCCCTAGTAACACTGATATCCACCTCACTACAACCTATCCCTAGTAACCCTGATATCCACTCCACTACAACCTATCCCTAGTAACCCTGATATCCACCCCGCTACAACCTATCCCTAGTAACCCTGATATCCACTCCACTACAACCTATTCCTAGTAACCCTGATATCCACCCCACTACAACCTATCCCTAGTAACCCTGATATCCACCCCACTACAACCTATCCCTAGTAACCCTGAAATCCACCCCACTACAACCTATCCCTAGTAACCCTTATATCCACCCCACTACAACCTATCTCTAGTAACCCTGATATCCACCCCACTACAATCTACCCCTAGTAAGCCTGATATCCACCTCACTACAACCTATCCCTAGTAACCCTGATCACCACCTCACTACAACCTATCCCTAGTAACCCTGATATCCAGCCAACTACAACCGATCCCTAATTACCCTGATACCCACCCTACTACAACCTATCCCTAGTAACACTGATATCCCTTCTAACAACTTCGTCTTAGTCACTGTGGTAATCTCCTTTACACATACCCCTAGTTACACCTGATATCCTTTAAACCTATCTATAGAAACAGTGATGTCCTCATTTACAACCTACGCCTAGTTTTACTACTGTCGCTCATTATAACCTATTCTTAGTCACCTTGGTATAATCCTTAAAACCCGACCCTTAATAATCTAATATCCTTTACAACCTATCTATAGAAACAATGAGGTCCTCATTTACAACCTACCCCTGGTTATTCTGCTTACATTGTAATAGTGTAACTTTGTTGTCTTTACTGAAAACATTCTTTTATAAATCATTATTTTTACTACGATAACCTATCCTTTTTAACACTGATATCTTCCCTAACACACACATCCTAGCAACTCCGATGTCACCCCTTAAAACCTACCCCCTAGTAACCCTTATATCCACCCCACTACAATCTACCCCTAGTAAGCCTGATATCCACCTCACTACAACCTATCCCTAGTAACCCTGATCACCACCTCACTACAACCTATCCCTAGTAACCCTGATCACCACCTCACTACAACCTATCCCTAGTAACCCTGATATCCAGCCAACTACAACCGATCCCTAATAACCCTGATACCCACCCTACTACAACCTATCCCTAGTAACACTGATATCCACCTCACTACAATCTATCCCTAGTAACCCTGATATCCACCTCACTACAACCTATCCCTAGTAACCCTGATATCCAGCCAACTACAACCGATCCCTAATAACCCTGATACCCACCCTACTACAACCTATCCCTAGTAACACTGATATCCCTTCTAACAACTTCGTCTTAGTCACTGTGGTAATCTCCTTTACACATACCCCTAGTTACACCTGATATCCTTTAAATCTATCTATAGAAACAGTGATGTCCTCATTTACAACCTACCCCTAGTTTCCCTGTTATCCCTTCTAACAACTTCGTCTTGGTCACTGTGGTAATCTCCTTTACACATACCCCTAGTTACACCTGATATCCTTTAAACCTATCTATAGAAACAGTGATGTCCTCATTTACAACCTACCCCTAGTTTCCCTGTTATCCCTTCTAACAACTTCGTCTTAGTCACTGTGGTAATTTCCTTTACACATACCCCTAGTTACACCTGATGTCCTTTACAACCTATGCCTAGTTACAATGATGTCCTCATTTACAACCTACGCCTAGTTTTACTACTGTCGCTCATTATAACCTATTCTTAGTCACCTTGGTATACGCCTTAAAACCCTACCCTTAATAATCTAATATCCTTTACAACCTATCTATAGAAACAATGAGGTCCTCATTTACAACCTACCCCTGGTTATTCTGCTTACATTGTAACAGTGTAACTTTGTTGTCTTTACTGAAAACATTCTTTTATAAATCATTATTTTTACCACGATAACCTATCCTTTTTAACACTGATATCTTCCCTAACACACACATCCTAGCAACTCCGATGTCACCCCTTAAAACCTACCCCCTTGTAACAACAACGCCAAATTTTATATCCCTCCTTTAGCAACCCTTAAACCACAATTAACACATATTATCCATTATATCCGCGCGTACAGCCTACCGCTAGTAATCCGGATGTCAACCTTTCCTACCTACCCCTAATAATTCTGATATCAACATTTACAATCTACCCATTGTGACCCGATGTCTTGATGTCTTTCCTTCAACCAATCATTAATAGCCTTGACGTCCGCCCTTACGGATTTACCCCTCATTACCATGATTTCCTCCCTCACAAACTCTCCCTATAACCCCTGATATCCACTTTTACAACCCATCCTTAGGTACCATTAATGCCGACCCCTAGTAATTCGTGTCCAACCTTACAAACTACCCCTAGTAATTCGTGTCCAACCTTACAACCTACCCCTAGTAATTCGTGTTCAACCTTACAACCTACCCCTAGTAATTCGTGTCCAACCCTACAACCTACCCCTAGTAATTCGAGTCCAACCTTATAGCCCACCACTAGCAATTCATGTCCAACCTTACAACATACCCCTAGTAACTCGTGTCCAGCCTTACTACCTACTTCAGTAACTCGTGTTCAACCTTACAACCTACACCTAGTAATTCGTGTCCAACCCTACAACCTACCCCTAGAAACTGGTGTCCAACCTTATTACCTACCCCTAGTAATTCGTGTTCAACCCTACAACCTACCCCTAGAAACTGGTGTCCAACCCTACAACCTACCCCTAGTAAGCTTGATTCATATCCCCATAGTATACTGATTTGCTTCCTTGCGAGGTACGTTGTATGGAGAGGTGTAACACCTTATTGACAAACCATTGTACACCTTAATACACCTGAAAGACAGACCATGGTAAAACTAAATACATCTGATAGACAGCCCATAGTAAACCTAACCACACCTGATAGACAGCCCATAGTAAACCTAACCACACCTGATAGACAGCCCATAGTAAACCTAAATACACCTGATAGACAGCCCATAGTAAACCTAAATACACCTGACAGACAGCCCATAGTAAACCTTAATACACCTGATAGACAGCCCATAGTAAAGCTAAATACACCTGATAGACAGCCCATAGTAGACCTAAATACACCTGATAGACAGCCCATAGTAAACCTAAATACACCTGACAGACATCCCATAGTAAACCTAAATACATCTGATAGACAGTCCATAGAAAACCTAAATACACCTGATAGACAGCCCATAGTACCTCTAAATACACGTGATAGACAGCCCATAGTAAACCTAAATACACCTGATAGACAGCCCATAGTAAACCTAAATACACCTGATAGACATCCCATAGTAACTCTAAATACACGTGATAGACAGCCCATAGTAAACCTAAATACACCTGATAGACAGCCCATAGTAAACCTAAATACACCTGATAGACAGCCCATAGTAAACCTAAATACACCTGATAGACAGCCCATAGTAGACCTAAATACACCTGATAGACATCCCATAGTAACTCTAAATACACATGATAGACAGCCCATAGTATTCCTAAATACACCTGATAGACATCCCATAGTAAACCTAAATACACCTGATAGACAGTCCATAGTAAACCTAAATACACCTGATAGACATCCCATAGTAAACCTAAATACACCTGATAGACATCCCATAGTAAACCTAAATACACCTGATAGACAGCCCATAGTAAACCTAAATACACCTGATAGACATCCCATAGTAACTCTAAATACACCTGATAGACATCCCATAGTAACTCTAAATACACGTGATAGACAGCCCATAGTAAACCTAAATACACGTGATAGACAGCCCATAGTAAACCTAAATACACCTGATAGACAGCCCATAGTAACTCTAAATACACGTGATAGACAGCCAATGTTAAACCTAAAAACACCTGGTAGACAGCCCATAGTAAACCTAAATACACCTGATAGACAGTCCATAGTAAACCTAAATACACCTGATAGACATCCCATAGTAAACCTAAATACACCTGATAGACATCCCATAGTAAACCTAAATACACCTGACAGACATCCCATAGTAAACCTAAATACACCTGATAGACATCCCATAGTAAACCTAAATACACCTGATAGACAGTCCATAGTAAACCTAAATACACGTGATAGACAGCCCATAGTAAACCTAAATACACCTGATAGACAGCCCATAGTAAACCTAAATACACGTGATAGACAGCCCATAGTAAACCTAAATACACGTGATAGACAGCCCATAGTAAACCTAAATACACCTGATAGACAGCCCATAGTAAACCTAAATACACCTGATAGACAGTCCATAGTAAACCTAAATACACCTGATAGACAGTCCATAGTAAACCTAAATGCACCTGATAGACATCCCATAGTAAACCTAAATACACCTGATAGACAGCCCATAGTAAACCTAAATACACCTGACAGACAGCCCATAGTAAACCTTAATGCACCTGATAGACAGTCCATAGTAAACCTAAATACACCTGATAGACAGCCCATAGTAAACCTAAATACACGTGATAGACAGCCCATAGTAAACCTAAATACACCTGATAGACAGCCCATAGTAAACCTAAATACACCTGATAGACAGTCCATAGTAAACCTAAATACACCTGATAGACAGCCCATAGTAAACCTAAATACACCTGATAGACAGTCCATAGTAAACCTAAATACACCTGATAGACATCCCATAGTAAACCTAAAAACACCTGATAGACAGCCCATAGTAAAGCTAAATACACCTGATAGACAGCCCATAGTAGACCTAAATACACCTGATAGACAGCCCATAGTAAACCTAAATACACCTGATAGATAGCCCATAGTAGACCTAAATACACCTGATAGACATCCCATAGTAAACCTAAATACACCTGATAGACAGTCCATAGTAAACCTAAATACACCTGATAGACATCCCATATTAAACCTAAATACACCTGATAGACAGACCATAGTAAACCTAAATACACCTGATAGACAGTCCATAGTAAACCTAAATACACCTGACAGACAGCCCATAGTAAACCTAAATACACGTGATAGACAGTCCATAGTAAACCTAAATACACCTGACAGACAGCCCATAGTAAACCTAAATACACGTGATAGACAGTCCATAGTAAACCTAAATACACCTGATAGACAGCCCATAGTAAACCTAAATACACATGATAGACAGCCCATAGTATTCCTAAATACACCTGATAGACATCCCATAGTAAACCTAAATACACCTGATAGACAGCCCATAGTAAACCTAAATACACCTGATAGACAGCCCATAGTAAACCTAAATACACCTGATAGACAGCCCATAGTAAACCTAAATACACCTGATAGACAGCCCATAGTAAACCTAAATACACCTGATAGACAGCCCATAGTAACTCTAAATACACCTGATAGACAGTCCATAGAAAACCTAAATACACCTGACAGACAGCCCATAGTAAACCTAAATACACCTGATAGACAGTCCATAGTAAACCTAAATACACCTGATAGACAGCCCATAGTAAACCTAAATACACCTGATAGACAGTCCATAGTAAACCTAAATACACCTGATAGACAGTCCATAGTAAACCTAAATACACCTGATAGACAGTCCATAGTAAACCTAAATACACCTGATAGACAGCCCATAGTAAACCTAAATACACCTGATAGACAGCCCATAGTAAACCTAAATACACCTGATAGACAGTCCATAGTAAACCTAAATACACCTGATAGACAGTCCATAGTAAACCTAAATACACCTGACAGACAGCCCACAGTAAACCTAAATACACCTGATAGACAGCCCATAGTAAACCTAAATACACCTGATAGACAGCCCATAGTAAACCTAAATACACCTGATAGACAGTCCATAGTAACTCTAAATACACGTGATAGACAGCCCATAGTAAACCTAAATACACCTGACAGACAGCCCATAGTAAACCTAAATACACCTGATAGACAGCCCATAGTAAACCTAAATACACCTGATAGACAGCCCATAGTAAACCTAAATACACCTGATAGACAGCCCATAGTAAACCTAAATACACCTGATAGACAGCCCATAGTAAACCTAAATACACCTGATAGACAGCCCATAGTAAACCTAAATACACCTGATAGACAGCCCATAGTAAACCTAAATACACCTGATAGACAGTAAACCTAAGTAAACCTAAATACACCTGATAGACAGTCCATAGTAAACCTAAATACACGTGATAGACATTCCATAGTAAACCTAAATACACCTGATAGACAGTCCATAGTAAACCTAAATACACCTGATAGACATCCCATAGTAAACCTAAATACACCTGATAGACATTCCATAGTAAACCTAAATACACCTGACAGACAGCACATAGTAAACCTAAATACACCTGATAGACATCCCATAGTAAACCTAAATACACCTGATAGACAACCCATAAACCTAAATACACCTGATAGACAGCCCACCTAAAGTAAACCTAAAAACACCTGATAGACAGCCAATATTAAATCTAAATACACGTGATAGACAGTCCATAGTAAACCTAAATGCACCTGATAGACAGCCCAAAGTAAACCTTAATGCACCTGATAGACAGCCCACAGTAAACCTAAATACACCTGACAGACAGCCCATAGTAAACCTAAATACACGTGATAGACAGTCCATAGTAAACCTAAAAACACCTGATAGACAGCCAATATTAAATCTAAATACACCTGATAGACAGCCAATATTAAATCTAAATACACCTGATAGACAGCCCATAGCAATCCCTACATACATCTGATAGTCCACCACAGAAACCCCGACATACATCTGATAGTCAACCCATAGAAACCCTTACATACGTCTGATAGAAACCCATAGTAAACCATACATCTGATAGCCCATCAACATACATCTGATAGACCAACATACATCTGATAGTCAACCCATAGAAACCCTTACATACGTCTGATAGTTAACCCACGGTAACCCTCAAGTACATCTGATAGTTAACCGATAGAAACCCTTACATACATCTGATAGTCAACCCATAGAAACCCCTTACCTACGTCTGATAGTCAACCCATAGAAACCCCTTACGTACGTCTGATAATCAACCCATAGAAACCCCTTACATACATCTGATAGTCAACCCATAGAAACCCCTTACGTACATCTGATAGTCAACCGATAGAAACCCCTTACATACGTCTGATAGTCAACCCATAGAAACCCTGACATACATCTGATACTCAACCCATAGAAACCCTTACTACGTCTGATAGTTAACCCATAGTAACCCTTACGTACATCTGATAGTCAACCGATAGAAACTCTTACATACATCTGATAGTCAACCGATAGAAACCCCTTACGTACGTCTGATAGTTAACCCATAGAAACCCCTTACCTACGTCTGATAGTCAACCGATAGAAACCCCTTACGTACGTCTGATAATCAACCCATAGAAACCCCTTACGTACGTCTGATAGTTAACCCATAGAAACCCCTGACATACATCTGATAGTCAACCGATAGAAACTCTTACGTACATCTGATAGTCAACCCATAGAAACCCCTTACGTACGTCTGATAATCAACCCATAGAAACCCCTTATGTACGTCTAATAATCAACCCATATAAACCCCCCACCCCCCAACACACACACATTCAGCACATTCATGCACTCCACACCCATCCACACACCCATCCACACACATTCATTCACGCCGACTTTGAAATCGACACTTTTGAATGTTTGGTTACATTAACGTATGAACAGGACGATGTAAGTTAGCGGCCGGTGACTGGAAGTTAGAAATGGGGAAAAGATATATGATATAATATATTTTAATATTCGGAAGGAGAGCGTCACACCTTTCTGGACGGTCGCTTTACTGAGTTATCCATTAATTAAAAGTAAATTTCACCTATTTTGTCAGTGACACGTTTGGACAAAAAATATACAGATATAAAATTGTTTCAAATACAATTTAGTATGTAGCTACCCTCGAACCACAAGACACTTGTCTGGTTATTGACATTCTTCCATAGAGACACCACATAGGAGCTTGAGGATTTGTCACAGCAGATGTCTCTGTCACTAAACATTTTGTCAAAGAACCGGTTGTCGTTGGTTAGTGATAGATATGACGAGCGTTTTGATGGACGTCGATCTGTCTCGTTCGTTCTATAATATGTACCATTATAGTGACTGATGCCTGTACGTATATAGTAGATTAGAATAGTAGGAAAAGTAAGCTGTACATCCAGTCAGACATAAAACACACTGTAAATTAAATAATGTTACGCATTACAGAATGAGATGTCTGATCATCGCTGTCTCATCTGCCAGATTGTATACAAAACTTAAACTGAGATATGCAATCTATGTGTTATTTAAATTACATCTAAATCCTTGTTAAATGTTATTTACTTAGATATCGCTGCAATCGGAAAATAACGAAAAAAAAAGAAATAAAATAAATATCATTTCTTATTTTGTCTGTGTTGGTATCTTTGGTCATTGGTTTGTGTGCTTGTGAAGTCGACTACAGTAGTAAGACGGATACTTTTGATTCGGAAATTAAATTTCAAAAAAGTTACATGAAACGAGACGAAAGGGACTCACTCGACATGAAGTATGGATATGTGTAATATAAATAAGGAATACGTATCGGACCGGAACCCTGGATCACCAGAAAACACAGTGGATCAGTCTAGGTATGTGCTTGGCGATTGGGATGTGTAGCAGGTCTGGACCGAGAGAAGAAAAATGGTCCTCAGTAGGTAAAGCGTCTTTAAAGGGTTGTTGTGCTTACCTTTTAATCTCTATAAACATAAAGAAATACGTACGGAAGCCGGTTAGTGCCACTTTTTTCCATGAGTTAATTTTTTTTGAGTCGTAATTACGACTTAGGTATCTCGTAATTACGACTTAGCATCTCGTAATTACGACATAGGCATCTCGTAATTACGACTAAACCTCTCGTAATTACGACATAGCTATCTCGTAATTACAACTTAGTTATCTCGATATTACGACATAATTATCTAGTAATTACGACTTAGTTATCTCGTATTTACGACTTAACTATCTCATAATTACTACTTTGTTATCTCGTTATTACAACTTAGTCATCTTGTGATATTAAGACAAAGACCGAACTGTTTTGCGGCAATGTTTACTTCCGTCGAATGGTAAGTTTATGCAAACATGTACACTTTTTCTTTTTCCCTCAGGACTGGGGAACCTCCCGATGCCATCTGTCAAAAACACGTGTGTGAGTCGACGGAAGTAAACATTGCCGCAAAACAGTTCGGTCTTTGTCGTAATGTCACAAGATGACTAAGTTGTAATAATGAGATAACTATGTCGTAATTACTAGATAATTATGTCGTAATTACGAGATGTTTAGTCGTAATTACGAGATACCTATGTCGTAATTACGAGATGTTTAGTCGTAATTACGAGATACCTAAGTCGTAATTACGAGATAGCTATGTCGTAATTACGAGATGTTTAGTCGTAATTACGAGATGCCAAGTCGTAATTACGAGATACCTAAGTCGTAATTACGAGATAGTTATGTCGTAATTACGAGATAGCTATGTCGTAATTACGAGATGTTTAGTCGTAATTACGAGATGCCAAGTCGTAATTACGAGATACCTAAGACGTAATTACGAGATAGATATGTCGTAATTACGAGATAACTATGTCGTAATTACGAGATGTTTAGTCGTAATTACGAGATGCCAAGTCGTAATTACGAGATACCTAAGTCGTAATTACGACTTAAAAAATTTAACTCATGAAAAAAGTGGCACTAACCGGCTTCGTGTAATGATAAAGGTAATGTCACCAATATACCCGCGGATATTTTCGACCATGTGAATGATGTTTTAAACTGAAAAGGAGGGGATAGAAAGAGCTATCATACTATGTACAACCCCTAACCTGGGATACTAGCGCGCGAGCACCGGGGACTGGTAGTTTAAGGCCTTGAAAATCTGGTAAAGTTGGTAATTGGAACAAAGAAAAAAGCTATTTTTGTTTTCATTATGTCTCCCCTTCGAGGGAAGGAAGTGAGGCATATCATTTTAGTACTGATTCTTCTAGTTCCTTTTCGGGTTCTTGTTCGGAGGAAACTTTTAAACCGTTAAAGGTCTCTTACTGAAAGTAGATAGATACCTTTATTGCCTAAAGCAGCGACATGCAGTGCACCACCATAGGGTCAATGCGACCTTGACCTCAAGGTCAATGGTCAAATAAATGTTTATTTTGCAAAATGAATTCTTGTCCGGGCAATATGATTTAAACCGTTAAGAATATCTTAATGAAAGTTGTTATACTTCTATGTCACCTAAAGCCGATGTGCAGTGCACTGACTTCAAAGTCAAAGGCCGGAACATTGATTCAAAGCATTAGTCAACCTGGAACCATGTCGAACTCCAACCAAACTACATTTTATTCAGTGAATACTGAAAAGAATGGGAATAATGGTTGATATAAGTAAGATGAAATGTAGGTATTAATTAACGGACGAAGGACAGACATATTTTTTGTTTCTTTAATAAGGAGGAGATAGAGATAGTGAACAGCTTCTCCTACTTGAGTACAATAATTAGTCGCTCTGTTTGAGTACAATATCTAGTCACTCTGGTTTATTTGAGTAGAATGTCTAGTCGCTCTGGTTTACTTGAGTGCAATATCTAGTCACTCTGTTCGAGTACGATATCTAGTCGCTCTGTTTGAGTACAATATCTAGTCGCTCTGTTTGAGTACAATATCTAGTCACTCTGGTTTACTTGAGTAGAATGTCTAGTCGGTCTGGTTTACTTGAGTACAATATCTAGCCACTCTGTTCGAGTACGATATCTAGTCGGTCTGGTTTACTTGAGTACAATATCTAGTCGCTCTGTTTGAGTACAATATCTAGTCACTCTGGTTTACTTGAGTAGAATGTCTAGTCGGTCTGGTTTACTTGAGTACAATATCTAGTCACTCTGTTCGAGTACGATATCTAGTCGGTCTGGTTTACTTGAGTACAATATCTAGTCACTCTGTTTGAGTACAATATCTAGTCGGTCTGGTTTACTTGAGTACAATATCTAGTCACTCTGTTTGAGTACAATATCTAGTCACTCTGGTTTACTTGAGTACAATATCTAGTCGCTCTGGTTTACTTGAGTGCAATACCTAGTCACTCTGTTTGAGTACAATATCTAGTCGATCTGGTTTACTTGAGTACAATATCTAGTCACTCTGTTTGAGTACAATATCTAGTCGGTCTGGTTTACTTGAGAACAATATCTAGTCACTCTGTTTGAGTACAATATCTAGTCGGTCTGGTTTACTTGAGTACAATATCTAGTCACTCTGGATACTTGAGTACAATATCTAGTCACTCTGTTTGAGTACAATATCTAGTCGGTCTGGTTTACTTGAGTACAATATCTAGTCACTCTGTTTGAGTATAATACCTAGTCACTCTGGATACTTGAGTACAATATCTAGTCACTCTGTTTGAGTACAATATCTAGTCGGTCTGGTTTACTTGAGTACAATATCTAGTCACTCTGTTTGAGTACAATATCTAGTCGCTCTGGTTTACTTGAGTGCAATATCTAGTCACCCTGTTTGAGTACAATATCTAGTCGATCTGGTTTACTTGAGTACAATATCTAGTCACTCTGTTTGAGTACAATATCTAGTCGGTCTGGTTTACTTGAGTACAAAATCTAGTCACTCTGTTTGAGTACAATATCTAGTCACTCTGTTTGAGTACAATATCTAGTCGGTCTGGTTTACTTGAGTACAATATTTAGTCACTCTGTTTGAGTACAATATCTAGTCGCTCTGGTTTACTTGAGTGCAATATCTAGTCACTCTGTTTGAGTACAGTATCTAGTCGATCTGGTTTACTTGAGTACAATATCTAGTCACTCTGTTTGAGTACAATATCTAGTCGGTCTGGTTTACTTGAGTACAATATCTAGTCACTCTGTTTGAGTACAATATCTAGTCGGTCTGGTTTACTTGAGTACAATATCTAGTCACTCTGGATACTTGAGTACAATATCTAGTCACTCTGTTTGAGTACAATATCTAGTCGGTCTGGTTTACTTGAGTACAATATCTAGTCACTCTGTTTGAGTATAATACCTAGTCACTCTGGATACTTGAGTACAATATCTAGTCACTCTGTTTGAGTACAATATCTAGTCGGTCTGGTTTACTTGAGTACAATATCTAGTCACTCTGTTTGAGTACAATATCTAGACACACTGGTTTACTTGAGTAGAATGTCTAGTCACTCTGGTTTACTTGAGTACAATATCTAGTCACTCTGTTTGAGTACAATATCTAGTAGCACTGGTTCATTCAATGAAGTGAAAAACCTATCAGCCCATTGTATATGTAATTTATTTGATTAAAATATTGTTACATAATTGTTGAGTGTGTGATTTTAGATACATTACAGTGATAGATCGTGCAAACTTTTTATTGGGATGAAAAGGTAACTACATGGTATGTCGGAGATTCAGTACACGCACCCTTGAAATATCAGCGAAAAGAGGAATGATAACGTATTGGTCACAGTTGGCTCATTCTACAGAAAGGGGAAGGAACAATATAGTATACAATCTTTTATACTATAATCAGTTTGTGGATAATAAGGTTTTTTTTATATACATGTATGAGCTTTGTTAAGCTTGTTCTATATGAATGAGGTATGAACCACTTTTGGGATGTTCATAAACTCCAGAAATTAATGCTAATGTCTGAAAATATTATTAAACAAAGACTGGAATGCAGATTTACATTTTGTAGATTTTGAAATACCAATCACAAATTTATAGCTGAAATCGGGAGATGTGATGATGTATAGATACACATATAGTATATATAAAGGCACACATTGTACTGTAACATACAAGGAATCGGTGACGAGAATCGTTCATGATCTAACTACAGATCCTTATATGTAGATGCAATGTTTGGAAGACGTCTAACTGAATTAAACTCGATAAATGATGAACACTACTAATTTGAAAAAAAAAAACAAAAAAACCTGCAGTTTTTAAAAATAATTGATAATATTTGTCCTCCTTGTATATGTACTTGTAATATTTATCGATATTGCAAATTACCAACAAGGAACACTGTAGTATGGTATGTCACACTCTAAATGTGTATATTGTATTATGAAAGAGGATAAAGTTGATTGGTGGGAACGTTCGGGTTCGAATCTCAGCGTTGTACTACAGCAGTTTCAGTCGTCACAGCTGATAACGGTGACGTGTACATATGTGACACCTCTAGTCACATATCAAAGTGGCTCTGAGGTGGTATGTACGTAACTTAATATATAAGTACCACAGAAATCAATTAGGTCACAGATGTTGCTTTCAACGTCTTAGTTTACGTAACGACAAGTAACGAATATCAACTTGTCCGCCATAAATATATAAAAATGTGCCCTTAGCTTTAATCACGGATTTAACATTCTTAGTCCAATCTTTAACGGTGAAAATTAAATATACTAAAGTAATAGTTGTAATATTCTTAATACCCCTGCAAAATTCCGATTTTTAGTTGCTATCAGTTGTTTTTTCAAAGACATACATATCGTCATACTCTCTGTCTCTGCTATTTATCAAATAAGACTTCATGTATTTTTCATTATTGCACAGATATACAGATGATGGTCTTAAATTTTCTGTTGTGTGAAAAAATGGGAATATCAGAAGAATTTTTTATTTTTAGAAAGCGGAAGTTAAAATGATACAAAAAACTTCGAACTTCAGTGTTGTGTGGCTTCTGTTATAAATGATAACCGAAAAGAAATATTTCAACGATTTTTATTCTAATCCGGATTCTTTATAACTATGTTGTTTCTAATTTTATAATATTCTCGCTTAAGCACTTACAAATAGGTTTTATTTTAATTAAGTAAAGAACAATTCGTCGTATTTCTAGCAGAGTAATATCAATGTTATGAACTTAATAACTGGTAAACATAAAGATTACCTAATTGAATACTCCAAAAGTATTTTGTTTACATCGAAAATAAGTCGCTTAGATCGTCAAGGAAAGAAGGCGGAACGAGAAATCAAAACAGGAAGACGACTTGTTGGATACCTCCCTTAAAACACGGTTGCAATGGCAACTGCGGACTGGAATCCGCTTGGAGATGTTTATTTCAAGTAATTTTTCTGTTGATTTAATTCATATCTTGCATTGACCGATGCAGTTATGACTGTTCTTCGTTCACATGTTGCACATCTGAAAATGTCAGACGAGGCTGGTATCTGTGATGAAAGTTCTATCAAATGACAATCAAATGAAGCATATTATTATTAGACTTCAACTTAATAAACATAATTCGTGTGGTTATAATAAAGTGACATACAAATGCCATTCACATAAATGTTAATAAAAATTGGTTTGGTGTTCGCTAGGTACCATTTTAAATACAGAAAATTAGAGTTTAATTAGATCGTTGTACTAGCATCGGCTGTCAATAAACTCATTCTTTGATCTGTGAATTGACAGGCGAAATTGGTACCAACAAGTTGATCGAATAAACCAAGTGATGGCAGTTTCATATGGAATTTCAGTGATCGATCTTCAATTAATTTTTATGAATCCTTTTCCACTCCATTGCTAAAAGCAACGGGTCCCACATTGGAAAATTTCAGTATTTCTAGAAATTCTATGAGTGCAGGATTTTGGACTTGCATGTAGATTGATCATTAGAATTTTTTCTGGAATATTGGTTGGTTTCAGTTGCAAATGTAGAAGTTGGAAGTATACTCTAGATATAGACCCCCTTACTAGCCTCAGCAAATGAAAAGTAAGAACACAAGATGATAGAGTCCATATTGCTACTGTCAGACTGTTGGAATGAGTAAAGCAAGAGGATGAGACCTCACGCATCTCAAGGAGATTTCTTTATATTTACAGAAAACAAGCACATGCTCAGTGCAATACCACACTGTTTCCTTCACTAGAAATAAGACTTCCTCAGTGATCAATCTACAATTCATTTTCATGTGTCATTTTCAACTTTATTGTTAAAAACAATGAGTTCCGCAATGGAAAATTGAAGTATTCAAGAAATTGTATGAGTTCCATAAAAATTCTATGAGTACAGGACACAGTATTCGCTTATAGATTAACAATTATAAAATCTGAAGTAGGAGGTGGAGAATACTTGAACTAATTTATGCACTTACATTGACAGAAAGAATGAGCTATATTCCATGGGATGGAGTGACTTGATTGATCTTGATAAGTTTACGGTAGCATCCGCACCCTACGGGGGACCAATAGGTATGTATATGATAGCATCCGCACCCTATGGGGGACCAATAGGTATGTATACGGTAGCATCCGCACCCTATGGGGGACCAATAGGTATGTATACGGTAGCATCCACACCCTATGGGGGACCAATAGGTATGTATATGGTAGCATCCGCACCCTACGGAGGACCAATAGTTATGTAAACGGTAGCATCAGCACCCTACGGGGTACCAATAGGTATGTATACGGTAGCATCAGCGCCCTACAGGGTGCCAATAGGTATGAACATGACAGTGGCATGTTACGGTTATGTGCCATGTATTCTCATAACATCAAAAAGAAAAAGTGAAGCAGAAAAATAATGGAAACGCTGTGTACACTTATATATTTTCAATTAAATTTCAATTTTTGAATTTCTGGTGCATATCACCAACTGTCAAAATCAGTATTACACCTACATTGCTGAGAGGCCATTTCAGGGCTTCATCTCTAGACCTCTGTTTTACATTCTGAAATGTAGTCTGATGGCACAGTCATAAAGCATTCACCTCTCACCTATACATACAGAGCTCAATTTCCAGGACAGATGTGATGAAGTATGAGGTCATCTGCCCGACTGTGTGGGTTTCCCCACGGTTTTCTGGTTTTTCTCACTAATGAGAGTGATTATATAAACTTATAGCTAGTTTCACAATTGTTGTAAAATAAATGAAATTTAATTAATTTACATTTTGAAATGTTGTCAGATAAAAAGGACTCAAATATCCAAGGATTTCTCCAAATTTAGTCCAAATTATTCTGATGATCTCTCAACTTTCTTATGGACTCAAGACCAATATAGAAAAATTTGAATAATTCTGACCACTCTAAGCATTAGAATTTATTTTCAGTGGCAGTGACATCTTTTATCTGTTCTATTTTAGCTCTTTATCGAGATGATTCTAAGACAGCACGAGTTCAAGTTTCCACCAAACCTATCATCACCGTCTTTACAGCCGCTGGCATTCAAATCAGTCAGATGAGGGTGGGTACCAAATGAATACTGACAGCAATATACCCCTTATATTGTCAGTCTACATTACTAGGAGTGACCATTACTGACAAGTGACTATTGCAGATTCAGAAATCCTGTTAATGTTATGATTTTTGGATGCATGCAATAGCTTCATCACAATTTCAAATCAGTGATTATGTAGTTAGAAATATAACTATGATTTTAAGCCTCTGTGGCAATTTACAGCAGGTTAATCGAAATAGGACTTGTGTTGTATCTTGTTCAAAGTACCCTAAGCAGAGTATCATGAAAAAATTAAAATGTCATATCATTCAGTGTCAATTACTCTGTCAAAATGTTTCTTATCCAAATCAGTTTAGCTTGAAGTTTACTGCAAATTGTTTACATTTCATGAATTGTTTATTTGCAGATTTATCTCTAAATAGACATATTTGCAAATATGTGATTTCATGGGCACTGATCTAGAATTGACTTACATTTGGCAAATGATGAGGTATTAGAGACATGGACTCTGAAAACTTTTATTATGCCATGCAGAGTTGTTAATCTCGGGGGATTTGAATTTGCGATTGATGTTCCTCACGTATTGATAGGAAAATAAAATCCATGTGAAATATAAGTGATTTACATAATGGTATGGTTCTTTGTTCATGCAAGACAAATGTGTTCTCAAAGTGACTGTTACTAATGGAATGTTATAGTGGAGCAGTGGTCAAGTGGTCAAGATGGGATGGTCAAACACAGAGGATCTGCTCTGTGTACAGGATGACGGCATGGTACTCTCCTACGACATGTTCCTGAACTTCAAACGCATGTTTGGCATGGGGCAGGTCAGTCATGGGAAAGACACAACTTGATCAATACTTGACCAGAGTGGTCAGTAAATAAACAGGGTGTATAACGTAATAAACATGATAATGCATATTTATCAAACACAGTAAATAGTATCTATAAATAAAAAAGTTTTCAATGTGTTCCTCAAGATTGAACTAATACTCTCCCCTTACAGTGTTTAGGTTTCATGTGTGGATGTGGTGATATTGTGGAGGAGATACTTAGTTGATAATGTCTCCACCTACTTTGTATCAACTACATCTGGCCCTAATTAGCTGTGTTTTTATGTTAGATATACAACAATATTCATCAAAGTATTTTTGACCTGTTTGTGTTACATGTACCTTAAAAGACTATGATGTACCATTTTAATCTTTTGTGTTAACATACCCATTAAAGGTTTTTAGCATTTGTCTTTTACTTTTTGGTTTGTTCAATGTTATTTTCTCTCGGATCACTGTGTGTTTTACCATTTGATGGCCCTAATGACCTTTTATGTGTTGACTGGCCGTTAAGAATGAAATAATAATAATGATGATAATTGTTTGACAGGAAGCTAAGGATGTTAAAGTGATAGACTGTGAGATATTTAACAGTTTCCAAGGGACGGGGATAGCTGTACTGACCAGCACCTTCCGTATCTTCATCATCAACAGTGTAGATGACCCCAGGATACGTAGGCTGGCAGAGGTCCCAGGTAAATACAATACAAAACTTATACAGTAATAATATATAATAGTGGTTTACTAATTAACAGGTCATTATGTAGGTATGCAGCTCCATTATCATTGATCAGATAGAAAAAAGATTATGCAGTCTGATACTGTGCCTTAATGCAAATAATCCTCCTGCACAGTGAAAGATATTGACCAAACGTAGGGAAGGGGCTTATTTACAGTAAAATACTTTATATGTGGTCAATTCAAAAATATTACAGGTCCTGTTAATAGTGTGTTTAGTCATTTCATCAAGAAAACTGTCTGTTTACTGGGTAGGTTTGCAGTCAGCTCCAAGTAGCTGGGCAGTTCTAAATCTTGACCGACAGTCCCGAGCACTGGTTGCCAAGGGTAACGAGCTGTTCCTCATTGACCATGGAGGTCAGTACCAGAATCAGGTAAGTTTACACACAGACCAGTGGTTATTTAAAGGCCACAGTGGATTTGTTCAATATCAGATAAATCACTCTAAGATCACAAAAGGACATTGTTATTATATTTTGACATCTTGGATATACTCCTACTTAATATTCTCAAATATTTCTCAAAGAAAAAAGGAAGAAAATGCACTTATTTTCTTTTCATCATATGTTGCTGTGTCAATGCCATGGTTTGGCATCACATATATACAGTATATACAACAATACATGTTGTGAGGGAAGATATTTATGAATTGTCATGATTTTGTAGTGGTAGATTTCCTTGTAATCTCAAATTGTAATTGTAAGAAATATATGGATGGTTCAGTCGTTATTTGGTAGCCCATTTGCCTTTCATCTGTCTGAAGTTTAATTCCCAGAACGGACATGAAAAGATAGAGGATCACCTGTCTGACCATGTGGGTTTTCCCTGGGTACTCCGGCGATCAATATTAGTTGAAATAACTTGTTTTATAAATGAAGTTTATATTATATCAAGGGATGTATTCTTTTACTTAGTTTACTGTAGATGACTTACAAGATGTTAACCATTGTTGCAGACACCACAAACTAACACAGAAGTCAAAGAATATATACAAATGGCTCTCTCCTTCAACAACAAGTTCCTGGCTCTATATACAGATAGTGGTGTCATCCTCATCTGTTCTTCAGATTTACAGGTAGGTAGAGTTCAGATTTACAGGTAGGTAGAGATCCATCCTCACATCTATAGAGCATCTTAGGAGAAAAAGATGATGGCAGGCCTGATCATTAAATCTAAAAAAAATCTGAGATTGAATATAAATGAATTGTCATCTATGTGGATTTCTCTTTGTAGGATAGAAATTTAGATTTTTAGAATGTCTTCTTATTAACCCTTTAATCAGATATTCCAAACATTTAGCTAACACAGATCACATGTTATTATGAAGAATGTTTTCTCTTAAACTCTTTACTCATGCTTATATTCCAAACATTTAGCTAACACAGATCATGTGTTATTATGAAGAGTATCTTCTCATAAACTCTTTACTAATGCTAATATTCCAAACATTGAAAAACACAGACCACCTGTTTTAATGTTAAGTATCATGAGTGATAGATATAAAACTGCAATATCTGATTTCTTTCAGAAAGTTTACTGTGAATTTAACACTAAGACAGAAACTTGTCCTCGACAGTTGATGTGGTAAGTATCAGTTAACATTGATCTCAGTAAACATTTGATACAGTCGATAAGCTGTGGTTAATTTGATCTGTGTCTTGTGATGTTTATTTGTTTTATTTACTTAGCCTTCTTGACTGTAGAATATCTCCTTACATCCAATATATTTTGGAGAGGATACAACTCCTCCATTGCATTGAACATTTATTGTTGAAAGCCTACTGACAAATCATACAATATACTGTTATCAAGATATTCTCTTTTATTAAGAATAGCAATGAATAAGATTGAATGGGTTGGCCCTGGTATAAGTCTTTGATATGATGACCTTTCAGCAGTTTTGTTCTTACAGCTGATGTGACATTTGGAGTACCCAATGTGTTGACCTTTTTAAATATGTGCCTTGACATTATGCACATTGTAGGATAAAGTGATGTGTCAAATTAAAGATCTAAATATATGTATCATATATCAGTAATTTATTGAATCTTGACATCAAATGAATGACCTTGACCTTTCAGGTGTGGAATCGGAGCAGTAGTAGCCTTGTGGGGAACCCTAATGGTGGTTGTTGGGCCTCAAAAGGACTGGATACGGTATCCTTACAATTGTGTTAAGTGGTCATCTAGGTTTTGTCTCATTGAAAACATATTTGTATAAAAACATCTGATGTACTTCTACTATTGTCTGATAGAAAATTATGCAATATACAAATGAACCTATAATTGTAAGTCAATCTATAATAAGTCACATTCTGACCTCATTTGGACAAGATTTCTTATTCCTTGGGTGTTTTCCTTCATACCTTGAAAACTGTCTGAATCTGACACAGATTTTTTGTCAAATGATGACAAATTAAATACTTTTCCTAAAAAATCAGTAATATCTATCTATTTTAAGGAATGTTAAGAAACATCAGAGATCCCCCTGACAGTTTATGTTCACATGATAAAAGAGTTGTGTTTGTCGTTAGAGTTTGACTGTAGTCATGGATATTGACACAATTTTAACAAACACAAACACCAGTGGTATAATTATCATCAGCATCACGATTAGTGATGGTCAGTTCCTTATCTTGTGGTCAGGTATAATTTTGAGTCACCAGTCAACCTTGTACAGGAGATGGATGGCATCAGAATCATTGGAAATTACCAGCATGAATTCCTCCACAAAGTTCCTGGTAAGTACACAAAGTTCCTGGTAAGTACACAAGTTCCTCCACAAAGTTCCTGGTAAGTACACAAGTTCCTCCACAAAGTTCCTGGTAAGTACACAAGTTCCTCCACAAAGTTCCTGGTAAGTACACAAGTTCCTCCACAAAGTTCCTGGTAAGTACACTAGTTCCTCCACAAAGTTCCTGGTAAGTACACAAGTTCCTCCACAAAGTTCCTGGTAAGTACACTAGTTCCTCCACAAAGTTCCTGGTAAGTACACAAGTTCCTCCACAAAGTTCCTGGTAAGTACACAAGTTCCTGGTAAGTACACAAGTTCCTGGTAAGTACACAAGTTCCTCCACAAAGTTCCTGGTAAGTACACAAGTTCCTCCACAAAGTTCCTGGTAAATACACAAGTTCCTCCACAAAGTTCCTGGTAAGTACACAAGTTCCTCCACAAAGTTCCTGGTAAGTACACAAAGTTCCTGGTAAGTACACAAGTTCCTCCACAAAGTTCCTGGTAAATACACAAGTTCCTCCACAAAGTTCCTGGTAAGTACACAAGTTCCTCCACAAAGTTCCTGGTAAGTACACTAGTTCCTCCACAAAGTTCCTGGTAAGTACACAAGTTCCTCCACAAAGTTCCTGGTAAGTACACAAGTTCCTCCACAAAAGTACACTAGTTCCTCCACAAAGTTCCTGGTAAGTACACTAGTTCCTCCACAAAGTTCCTGGTAAGTACACAAGTTCCTCCACAAAGTTCCTGGTGAGTACACAAGTTCCTCCACAAAGTTCCTGGTAAGTACACTAGTTCCTCCACAAAGTTCCTGGTAAGTACACAAGTTCCTCCACAAAGTTCCTGGTAAGTACACTAGTTCCTCCACAAAGTTCCTGGTAAGTACACAAGTTCCTCCACAAATAACCTAATTAGTCTGTAACATGATGCTAACAGTTTATGGTATGGCTGTTTTGACACTGATCGCAGGAATTATGTTTTGTTAAGTCAGTTAAGTACATGTATGTAGTTGATGTGTGATGGGCATTTCTTAATTTCTTAATGTCAAATTTTCCTGTATTGTAAAGAGACTATGTATTGTGTGTGTTTTGTTCCAGATGTAACAGAGCATATCTTCAAAATAGGATCTATGGAGCCAGGGGCAATGTTGTATGAAGCTTCTCGAGAATTTCATGTGAGTTAAAAGTAACTGGTATTTTGGAATGTGTTGTTTTTAATCTTCCTTGTTCCTTATATTTTGGAAGTCTGATAGTTGTCATTGTAAAAGGCTACTTAGGAATTTTTCAGTACAAATGTTACAGGTTATTACAGTTGTAAAATTTATTGTCCTACATTTAAATTTGAAGGGACACATTATATCAATAATAATATTACTCTAAATTCATTTGTATTAAAAGGTGCTATTCATGTGTGTCTTTTGTACAGTCTTTTAAGATAGAAGATGGTATACATAGCTTGGGGACTTTCAAATGCATGTTGATCCATGATAAAAAAAAAAATTTATCTTGTGCATTTCTACAACAATATTGACCTAGAAATTTTGTGGAATTAGCGTAGGAGATTTTTATATAGCTGGAAATGTCCATTGACTTGGGTATGATCATATTTTAGGATTTGTAGTAAGTTGCCTTCTGATGTGATATATGATGTTAATATTTACCAGGTAGATTGAAGTTTGAAATGTTTTTCAAGCATTTCTTATGTAAAGTGAAAAAAATTGTACTACTTTCAACTGTTTCTGTTTTGTTGTTATATCACCATATCTTGAAATCCATGATAGGGATTTCTATAAGCTGCCCTAAACAAAACCTCCAGTTACTGCCCTCTGTGACTGTTAATTACACGTAATGATTTGTGAATGCATTAATGGGTAGTAGGAGGACTACATAATGAACATGTAAACATGGATTTCAACAATTCTAACTTGTTGCAACTTCTTGAGAAGTTCTGAATGGGTTGAAATTCTTGAATTCCAGATGTTTGTCCCAGATTGTGCATTACTTGGTATCTATTTTTAGACTGATTAAAACATGATTTTGATATGGAGTGTACATTTTTTGTAAATACTGGCCAACAGGCAGACTTCATCAACTTTGATGGTAATAATGTTTTCTTTAAACTTTTTGTATTAAGAATTACTGGATGTATAATTCTCAAGTTTCAATGTATGATACGTTTTCCTTTGTCCATAGATGTGCACATGTTGATCCTAAGATGTGTGTATTTTGACACTTATTTCAAAGAAAAGAAAAATCACACAATTATGTTGTAAATATCTCTAGGATCTATTGTTTAGCCCACCTGGCGTTGGCATAACACGTCATCCTTGTCTGAACTTGTTCAACTTGAACATACCCTAGTCACTGTTAAATTTTTTGAGGCAGAAATCAACCAATGTTACAACAATTTATATGTTTATTTAGACCTGCCTACCTTACAGGCCTTCCACATGTTGTTCAGTGAGGTAACTGCCAGCTACTATTAGGAGACCCTGATTCAAAATGACCCTGGCAGTTACCAGGGCAATAAACCCAGCTAACACACACAATCGGATACAGTATCTGTAAATATTTAGATTTTGTTACTGTTGTGTTTTCATTCACAGAAAATATATAAGCTTGATTGAAATTCATCATCAGTGATTTGTTGTTACAGAAAGGATCCCAGAAAGCTGACGAATACATACGAATGATTAAGGATAAACTAGAAGTTGCTGTCAACCAGTGTATAGAGGCAGCTGGGTTTGAGATAGAAACCGACAAACAGAAAGCTCTACTCAGGGTAAGTGGATTATTGAGTCTCTTGGTCAATGTAATTCTGTCCAAAATGTGATTTGATGATGAATAATAGATGTTTAGAATTTGTGTTTGTCTGAAAAGTGGTAGACATTTTGTCACTAACCAAAGTATGTAGTCAGGTATTGTGTATATGATATTTTATTTACAGGCGGCAACATTCGGGAAGTGTTTCCTCACCGACTACAGCCCAGAAACATTTGTCAACATGTGTCAAATGTTACGAGTAATCAATCAAGTACACCATCATAAGATCGGCATTCCTATCACCTACACCCAGTATCCTTGTCTCATTTGTCATTGGTCCAACTGATTTGATTAAAATGTTAAAATGTCAAGTTAGGAACAGAAAAGTGCTTGACCACAGAAACCTGCATGACCACAGAAACCTGCATGACCACAAAGGATCAAATTTCTTTTCTTACTATTGACTAAACACCTACAAAGGGACAGAGTGTAAAAATGTGAAAACAGAATATATTTAAAAATTTAATCTTACTTCCATTTAATCTGTATCTTGATATTATGGTATCATTTCAACTGTTTGTTAACAATGTTAGCTTTGTAGATACAAATGAGTAGAAACCAATTTGTTGATCAAGCTTTCACTAACCCTAGATTAACTCTGATCAAGCTTTCACTAACCCTAGATTAACTCTGATCAAGCTTTCACTAACCCTAGATTAACTCTGATCAAGCTTTCACTAACCCTAGATTAACTCTGATCAACCTTTCACTAACCCTAGCTTAACTCTGATCAACCTTTCACTAACCCTAGATTAACTCTAATCAAGCATTCACTAACCTTAGATTAACCCTGATCAAGCTTTCACTAACCCTAGATTAACTCTGATCAACCTTTCACTAACCCTAGCTTAACTCTGATCAACCTTTCACTAACCCTAGATTAACTCTAATCAAGCATTCACTAACCTTAGATTAACCCTGATCAAGCTTTCACTAACCCTAGATTAACTCTGATCAACCTTTCACTAACCCTAGCTTAACTCTGATCAACCTTTCACTAACCCTAGATTAACTCTAATCAAGCTTTCACTAACCTTAGATTAACCCTGATCAAGCTTTCACTAACCCTAGATTAACTCTGATCAAGCTTTCACTAACCCTAGATTAACCCTGATCAAGCTTTCACTAACCTTAGATTAACCCTGATCAAGCTTTCACTAACCCTAGATTAACTCTGATCAAGCTTTCACTAACCTTAGATTAACCCTGATCAAGCTTTCACTAACCCTAGATTAACTCTGATCAAGCTTTCACTAACCTTAGATTAACCCTGATCAAGCTTTCACTAACCGCTGGTTAATTCAAACCAACCTATGAGCACCTTGGTTAATATTTTTACATCTATTGATTGTTTTGATACTATATATAATTAGTTCTTTGTGGTTATTGTATAAACTAGCTTAATGGTTTTTAATACCTAGTAATGAAGTACGAGTTCTAGTTGAAATGTTTAAAGGTTTAAAACTCTGGGTCTCTTCAGTGACTATATTTAACTAATGCAGTGATGTTCAGCACCTTGGTCTCTAGCTATGATTATTTTTGTATGAAGAAAATATTCAATTTTCCTTTTGGAAACCTCTCCCTAACCTGGTATTAGATTGGAACACCTCTCTATGGCTGTGATGATTGACAGACTAGTCCTCAGAAAGATGTTCCACCTGGCAATCAAAATCTGTCAGTACCTCAAGATTCCAGACCAGGAGGGAGCAAGTCGTATTCTGGCACACTGGGCATGTTATAAGGTAGGCCAATACTTAAAACCTAGATTAATAGAATTATGATGTCATTATATTTAGGTGATAGTATGTTTGTTTTTATGGCGAAGATTAGATCTTGATTTTTTTGTTTTAACAGGAGACTTCCACACATAGTCACTGTTGAGGAGTGATCTTATCACAGGACACTTGATGTCAAGTCTACAATGTTGAAATACTGTATATCTATCTATAGCTAATTCCCTGACAAAGACCTTCTGCAAGAAAAATGTATGCTCGCAAAGTACATGATTTTATGGAAATTCTTTGTTATTTAATCATTTTCTTTAGAATAGGGAAGAGATCGTTGTAAAAGGACCAGTATGTACTATATGATTATCATTATGACTGAAAGGTACTTTTTAAAACTCCTTGTAATGGACATGAATGCAGAAAGGGGCTGTGATAGTATTACAATTTTGTAGGTAAAACAGAAGAATGAAGATGATGAGACGATAGCCCGGGCTGTAGCTCAGAAACTTGGAGACACCCCTGGGGTGTCCTACTGTGATATCGCGAGTCAAGCACTAGAATGTGGTCGGACAGACTTAGCCATCAGAGTAAGTGTCAGCAAATGATGATCCATTGGTTGAAATTCTAGATAAGAATTCTTCATCTTTCTTCTCTGAGAAAATTTCTTAGCATCAAGTGAACAGTTTATAAAGATAAAGGTACATACATATATAAGGATGTTTTGGAGAATGTCGACTGATTGACTTCTTGTGTTCAGTAAGATATCCATCCTGTCTTCTGTATTCAGCTGCTTGACTTTGAGCCGCGGGCAGCCCAGCAGGTTCCCCTCCTGATGAAGATGAGTAAGGATCAGCTGGCTCTGTCGAAGGCTATAGAAAGTGGGGACACTGACCTTGGTATGTAATGTTGATACTTACCAGCTGACTATATATAGTAACCGTCTCACTACAGTCAGACCTGTGTATACTGACCAGCTGATTAATCAGGCCTGTGTATACTGACCAGCTGATTAATCAGACCTGTGTATACTGACCAACTGATTAGTCAGACCTGTGTATACTGACCACCTGACTACACTCAGACCTTTCAAATCTTTTGATATTAGGTCATTGTTATAAATTTGATATTCTATGAAAGCTGTATTTTTCTTTGATGCAGTTTACACAGTGTTACTCAAGCTCAAGAATGACATGAAGGATGGAGATTTCTTCATGGCCATCAGAAACATGCCCATCGCATACTCTCTCTTCATACAGGTAAATCTCTCTATAAGTGTTATAGAGAGTATTATATTTACCCTGCTAAAGCCCAGGGACCAACAATCTCCAAGTCAACCTAAGGAGAAAAGCTTCTTAATGCCATAATCATTCAAATTTTGTTGTGCTCAATTTTCATAGTTTTCAGGGAAAAAAATTGTAAATATATTTGCATTAACTATGGCAGTTCACAAACATATGAATTTATGAATTTAGGTTATCCAAAAAATCAAAGAAAAGGAATCCAGAGGAAAATTAATGTATGAACAGTATAGGTGTCTTCCTGAGATATTGCAGTTGTTTTGTAATCAAAGTATCGTCTAAGATTGGAATGTAGATAATGTTATTAGTATGTCCATTGTAGATGAGAAAATCATTATTTGTTTTAAACTTGTGTGCTAAAAATGCAAAATATGTCCCTATTTCATCATCAAAAAAGAGTTGAGTAAAAACTGGTAAATGGAAAGATTGTGAAGCCTGAAATTGACTTAATAAAAGTGTTTTTGGATGTTAGTGAATGAAGAATTACTAAGGATGATCTTTTTGTTTATTGTTTCAGTATTGCCGCCATCAAAACCCACAGATGATGGAAGATCTTTATTACCAGGAAGATAACTTCCTGGAGGAGGCAAACTGTAAGGTCGTTAAAAGTTTTGATGATGAAGTAAGTGTGATGGATATTCATTTAAGTGTTAAAATGTTAGAGTACAGTGTAAATCAGATCTAAGTTTGCCTGAATTTGATGATGAAGTCATTGTGATTCGAAAGTTGTTATCTTTAATATTTTTACTTGCACTCTGTAATGTGAATATCTGTCCGAGTCGTTTTCAGATCACAAACTCACAGTAAGCCTATCCATTTTACCTTTACCACATATGGTAGGTCAGGAGTACAGTTTCATTTACTCATTGTTTCATTGTTTTATAACCATGAAAATGGTTCACCTGTCCGTCCATCTGCCTGCATCAAATTTATGCTGTTAGATTTTGGGCAGTAGAATTTCGAAGTGAAAGAAATGCTTCTTGAACACATTCGAGGACTTTTGAACGAGAATTGCTAACAAAGCCATAATAACAACAAACAATATTTTAATTCACATTATAGAAATTGAAAATATGTATGTTTTTAGTTTGTTTGTAATGTCAGAAGTAGGGCTCTTAAAAACTTTTCGCCAAACTTCAGAGAAAGGGACTATCTGATTGGTTAACACTAACGTTTGCAAATAATAGAAGGCCATCAGAATGGTGATTCCATCTGGCTTGTGAGATCTCCATGTAACAAAGTACATAACATGAAATGAATTACAACATCTGTTTTTAATGAGATTCATTCATTACAATGACATGAAGTTGTGCTTTCTCTGTGGAGTTTGGAAAATTCTTGTTTTATTTCCATGTGTGTATTTTGATTGTACATGTATTTTTTTGGCTTCACTCAGGAGTATATTTATTGTTCTGCCTTTAGGTACTTGTGTTGCTTGAACCAATTCTTTTCTGTTTTCACAGTGATAACATATGTTACAAAAGAGGAGGATCAACTATTCCTAAAGTCTGTTTGTGTCATTTCAGAGACTTGATGACAGATTAGAAACATTAAAACAAGCCATGAACTGCTACACTAGAGCCAAGAATGAATTTGCTGTCAAGGTAATTCACTGATTTGTAGCAAGTTTGAATTCTGTTTAGTGACATATAAATGTGATTGATTATAAATAGCTGTCATAAAAAATGACAATATTTTTGCCTGCAAAGCATTGGGAGTAATGTAAGTGTGGGGATGTGTGATTTTACTGATTCACAAGTGCTGTTATAGATGATGTTGTGTTACAGCAAACTGAGGATCAGATGAAATTACTGAAATACCAGCGTCGAATGGAGGAGGAGTTTAACCGCCCATATATGGACCTATCCTTGCACCAGACCATATATAGACTTATAATGGAAAACAGTCACAAACCTGCAGAACAGCTACGCAAGGAATTCAAGGTTCCTGAACGCAGGTAAAAACAGCTACACTAGGAACTCAAGGTCTCTTAATGCAGTAAAAACTGAATGAGGAGTCAAAACACTGACTGAACAGGTTATTTAGAAAATATTGATTTTAAATGTCTGCTTATGTTGTAGAGATGCAAGATTTATTGTTAAGCTTAGTCAATGCATAGTGAGCACCTCTTTAATTATCAGTGTTTAAGTGTGTTAAAGATGATTGAGCTGGGGGGAGGGGGTAATGTTTAAGTGTGCTAAAGATGATTGAGCTGGGGGAGGGGGTAATGTTTATTAAGTGTGTTAAAGATGATTGAGCTTGGGGGGGGGGTAATGTTTAAGTGTGCTAAAGATGATTGAGCTGGGGGGAGGGGATAATGTTTAAGTGTGCTAAAGATGATTGAGCTGGGGGGAGGGGGTAATGTTTAAGTGTGCTAAAGATGATTGAGCTTGGGGGGGGGTTAATGTTTAAGTGTGTTAAAGATGATTGAGCCTGGTATACCCCCTCCCACCCCCACCCCCCCAATAATACCAATAACACTACCACAGCCCTGCTGACGGCCATTCATTCATGCTGAATTAACTCTATACATGTTACCTGTAGATACTGGTGGCTTCGGATGCATGCTCTCGGAGAAGCTGGTGAATGGGCAGAGTTAGAGAGATTCTCCAAGTCGAAGAAACCACCAGTAGGACTAGAGGTAAAATGATGCATTTCTTGCCAAATTTCTGTAATTGTTTTAACATTGGACATTATAATCAGAGTTTTCATCATAAAGAGATTCTCAACTTAAGATCAGATGTTCTGTATAAACCACCAGGAAGATCAGTAAATCATAGCTACATCTGTCATTAAGAAAATAAAGTTCATCTTTAATGTGTAGAAAGAAATTACAGAAAAAAGTGGTTAGCTTGTATTTCATATTGATATCAAGACACAGTGACTTTGTTGTATTAAGTTTGTGATAAGCTTGCCTGTTCAAAGAATGGAGAGGCCAACACAGTCAACTTGGCATCGACGTCATCATCCCATCTTAAAATTTTGAAGTTTTATTTCAATCTTTATTGGATCACTAATGTCAAGAGACTGTTGATTATTAGATAGTTCAAGTGTTAATATGAATTGTTACTAAAATGCTGAAGAATATTTTGGATATTTATGGGGCCAAATGGGGTGGATTTGTATTTACATGAAGAATGTCAACAGAGGGTAACATTAACAGTTCTTGTTTAGTGATAAACACCAGATCTAGGGTCAATGTTCAAATGTGTTTTTAAAATGGTTAAATATCAGTCTTTTTTTCTTGTAACATGTTGAAAGATCTAGAATTGTAAAATGTTTATATCATACCTGTATCTCTTGGCTGCTAAAAAGACTTCACCACTCACTATTGGGCCAAGTTTTACATTCCAATCTATAGATAAATTGTATTTTGTAGGCCTTTGTTGAAGTTTGTTCCAAGCACAAGAATGTAGCAGAGGCCATGAAATACATTGCCAGGGTTCAGCCAGATCAGAAGGTCAAATGTCTACTCAAGATAGGGTAAGTTTTGTGATTGTTGCACCATTTGTGAGATCAACAAAACAGCTGTTACCGTCTTTTCCATAAACTTACAAAACTTTGTATTATTTACGATCATGACATGTAGGTTTGAAGTCCTGGAGCTGTTTTATTGACTCATATATGACAGGATTATTTCCCTTTAATAAGGATTGTCATCTTGCCTGCAGATCTCCTGTCTCAGTTTTCAACCAACCTCTGTGATACTTAGGAAGCTTTATCATCATGACATGTATTGATGCCAACTGAAATTGCATTTTGATTAAAATATTGAGGCAGGTGTGTTAACCTTCAATGAACTTGACTTTTCAGTCAGAAGAAATCTGCTGCGGAGGCTGCATTTGAGAACCACAGTGAGGAGGAACTAAACCTTGTGTTACAGAAGTGTGGGGCAGCAGACAAGCAGTTGGTGGAGAACATACGCTCAATGAAACAACAGCTGGGAGGCCGCAGATAGCAGGACAGGAGGGAGTCAGGGTCATAGGATGGAGACAAATAGTGTGACTTTAGTTTGAGGTTATGATTGGGTATATAACAAGTTTCTGAATCACCTGTATGTAAATTCCGCCGATTTACAAGCATTATATTACATTGAGCAGTGAAAGGACTTTAAAAAGGGATTTGTGCAATGGATGAGTGTATAAAGCTAAGAAGGTATACAGACAAAGTTTGGGTTTCAGCTTGGGGAGGATTGAGGGCAGGGCGGCAGGTAAATTTTTAGTGTTTGTCAATATGCCAATCAATCTACTCAACAGCTTATCGGAACAGTTGATGTCCATACCTTTATCAGATTTCCTTGAAATGCAAAGCTTATCTACAATCTGATGTATTTGTTTATAAATTGCACAACAAGATTTTCGTTTTGGGAGATCACTGAATAAGGTTACTCAGATGTACCCTGGTATACGTGGATGATACTGTGATTGGTTTATACAAGTTGTGTATGTTATAATTAATCTAGAAGATTAAAAGACTGGGATGGTACAAGATGTGAGGAAGAGATGTGAAGGGATGAGAGAATTTGTGAGTTGATAATGAAAGAAAATAGTGCTATGATTTGTTTTTGAGAACAAAAAATATTAAAGCTAATTAGTAATATCCTAAATGAACCTTTCATGAGATTTTTTTGTCTTTGATATCAATTCAGGATTTCATAATTACAATATACTTTTTATTTTCCCATTTCATTACTGCCATGTCTACTTTAACCACTGGGGTAGCATTTCTCAGCTTTCAAGTAAAGGACATCATCTCTATCACATTTTGTTGTGATATTCTATCAGCTTTTTTATATTGTTCTGGAGTCGCTAATTTAGAAATCGACAGAACGTCAGGATAGTTTGGACTATGTGACATTTCCACTAAATTATACTAGTTAGGTGGAGGTAGGAGTATTCCATGGACCAAACTTGATGCGTCATTTATTGTCATATACTAATTACAGAGGATGGTCAGAACACTGATGTTTGTCTAAACACAACCCTGGTACTCCAAACAGACCAATAGTAAGTCTAACCCGTGGAGTATCGAGGATGGTCAGAACACTGATGTTTGTCTAAACATAACCTTCGTACTCCAGACAGATGGATAGTACCGTAAGTCTAACCTGTGGAGTATCGAGGATGGTCAGAACACTGATGTTTGTCTGAACACAACGTTCATACTCCAGACAGATGAATAGTAAACCTATCCCCTGAAGTATCGAGGATGGTCAGAACACTGATGTTTGTCTGAACATAACCTTCGTACTCCAGACAGATGGATAGTACCGTAAGTCTAACCTGTGGAGTATTGAGGATGGTCAGAACACTGATGTTTGTCTGTAAGACAATGCCGAATGACATAAAGGAATTCAAGGATTCTTATGTTATGGCTTACTGACAAGTCTATTGAGGACACTTTGAAAACTGGTAAACAAAGATAATAATGAGTCATTGAAGATTAATCCTCATCCATACCAAAACAACCAGAAAGCAACATAAATCGGTTTACTCACAAGAAGGTTTGTCTAGGGTCTGATGGTTATATCAAGACTTCTTCAAGAAGAGTCAGCTAACACATGGGAATATAAGAACTCAATGTTTTATACAGACTCTGTATTAACATTTAACACTCTTCGTTAGATACAAATATTGCAAATGAAATGAAAAGATATCCCTGTCACAGCCTCTCCAAAAGCAGACACTTGTGAAAACCCAGTAAACAAGTCGTGTCTGGTGTTATGAATCATCATGTTACACACTGCATCCTAAATGGAAATAAATTTATCAAAATTCGTGATATCCGCCATGACTCAATGAAAAATTGACTGCCTTGATGTTTTTCCAAAGCTTTTGGCTATTGTGTGTAATATCAAACCCTGTTGAAAAACGTAATTCTTCTAAGGGAAACATTATGGGCAAGTTTCTTTTCCTTGATCAAGGATAATTTCATCATGCTATGTCCTCGAAGTGAGAGACCAGATTAGGAATAGCCGGATACTATAGTCACAGACTATATCAGACATTCCTTCTTGCTTTGTATCCCAAGAATCACAACGTTCTTTTAAAAGTTACAACAGTACCGTCCTTCAAGTGATTTATTTGCATATACAAATGTATAATGACTTACCTGATAGAATACGGCAGTGAAACGGTTACCAGTGGTAATGTGGACATCAGTTAGGGATGCCATGGAGTAGAATACCTCTGTTGTAGATTTACTCTCCAAGGAAAGATCAGTCTACAACACTGATACATAAGAGAGCTATGTGCTTCATTTCAAATTCGTAATGACAAAATGCAAATGCTCTCCACTAGAAAGACATGCAAAACAAGATGTACCACACTATCTTACATCTGATGGAAGAGGCTTTCTTTCTGAACATTAAAGACACATTTTTCTCTATTACATACACCCTTTTGACAAATTTCCATGTCCTTCTGTTTGTGGAATCTTTCAAGTAGGGAATGTGACATTGTTGGACTTTCCTGGTTATTTAAAGATTTGAAGACTGTACAAAAGACGTAGGTGAAGAGCACCTTTTAATAAATTAGAGTTAGTCAAGAGACAGTGATCACTTTGCTTTAGCCACAGGACATTACCAAAATGAACAAAAAGTTGGAAATGTTTTTCCACTAGTAGTTTTAAGCTATTGTGTGTAATTTGAAGAAAAACCCTGTTGAAAAACGTAATTTTTCTACTCAATAATTCTGGGAAACATTATGGAAATTTAAGTTTCCAATGATCTTTCCTTTACCATCAAGGATAATTTCACCCCAAAATGCTCATGTCAAATTTTTACCACTTCAAAGTGTTCATAAAGAAAACAGAAGAAAAGTTCCATTAATTTACCACCCCAATACTTTCTGGTTCATTAATTTACCACTTTAATACTTTCTGTTCATTAATTTACCACCCCAATCTGTTCATTAATTTGCCACCCCAAAATAATTTACAGACTGTTCATATTTACCACTCCAATACAGTTCATTAATTTACCACTCTAATACATTCTGTTCATTAATTTACCACCCCAATACTTTCTGTTCATTAATTTGCCACCCCAATACATTCTGTTAATTAATTTACCACTCCAATATGTTCCGTTCATTAATTTACCACTCAAATACGTTCTGTTCATTCATTTACCACTTCAATACGTTCCGTTCATAAATTTACCACCCCAATACATTCTGTTCATTAATTTACCACTCAAATACGTTCTGTTCATTCATTTACCACTTCAATACGTTCCGTTCATAAATTTACCACTCTAATACTTTCTGTTCATTAATTTACCACCCCAATACTTTCTGTTCATTAATTTGCCACCCCAATACTTTCCGTTCATTAATTTACAACTCCAATACTTTCTGTTCATTAATTTACCACCCCATTAATTTACTCCAATACATTCCGTTCATTAATTTACCACTCCAATACTTTCTGTTCATTAATTTACCACCCCAATACTTTCTGTTCATTAATTTGCCACCCCAATACCATTAATTTACAACTCCAATACTTTCTGTTCATTAATTTACCACTCCAATACATTCCGTTCATTAATTTACCACTCAATACTTTCTGTTCATTAATTTACCACCCCAATACTTTCTGTTCATTAATTTCATTAATTTACAACTCCAATACTTTCTGTTCATTAATTTACCACTCCAATACATTCCCAATTTACCACTCTAATACTTTCTGTTCATTAATTTACCACCCCACTTTCTGTTCATTAATTTGCCACCCCAATACTTTCCGTTCATTAATTTACCAATACTTTCTGTTCATTAATTTACCACCCCAATACTTTTTGTTCATTAATTTACCACCCCAATACTTTCTGTTCATTAATTTACCACCCCAATACTTTCTGTACATTAATTTGCCACCCCAATACTTTCCGTTCATTAATTTACAACTCCAATACTTTCTGTTCATTAATTTACCACCCCAATACTTTCTGTTCATTACCACCCCAATACTTTCTGTTCATTAATTTGCCACCCCAATACTTTCCGTTCATTAATTTACAACTCCAATACTTTCTGTTCATTAATTTACCACTCCAATACATTCCGTTCATTAATTTACCACTCTAATACTTTCTGTTCATTAATTTACCACCCCAATACTTTCTGTTCATTAATTTGCCACCCCAATACTTTCCGTTCATTAATTTACAACTCCAATACTTTCTGTTCATTAATTTACCACCCCAATACTTTTTGTTCATTAATTTACCACCCCAATACTTTCTGTTCATTAATTTACCACCCCAATACTTTCTGTTCATTAATTTACCACTCCAATACATTCCGTTCATTAATTTACCACTCCAATACTTTCTGTTCATTAATTTACCACCCCAATACTTTCTGTTCATTAATTTGCCACCCCAATACTTTCCGTTCATTAATTTACAACTCCAATACTTTCTGTTCATTAATTTACCACTCCAATACATTCCGTTCATTAATTTACCACTCTAATACTTTCTGTTCATTAATTTACCACCCCAATACTTTCTGTTCATTAATTTGCCACCCCAATACTTTCCGTTCATTAATTTACAACTCCAATACTTTCTGTTCATTAATTTACCACTCCAATACATTCCGTTCATTAATTTACCACTCTAATACTTTCTGTTCATTAATTTACCACCCCAATACTTTCTGTTCATTAATTTGCCACCCCAATACTTTCCGTTCATTAATTTACAACTCCAATACTTTCTGTTCATTAATTTACCACCCCAATACTTTTTGTTCATTAATTTGCCACCCGAATACTTTCTGTTCATTAATTTACCACCCCAATACTTTCTGTTCATTAATTTGCCACCCCAATACTTTCCGTTCATTAATTTACAACTCCAATACTTTCTGTTCATTAATTTACCACCCCAATACTTTCTGTTCATTAATTTACCACCCCAATACTTTTTGTTCATTAATTTGCCACCCCAATACTTTCTGTTCATTAATTTGCCACCCCAATACTTTCCGTTCATTAATTTACAACTCCAATACTTTCTGTTCATTAATTTACCACCCCAATACTTTCTGTTCATTAATTTACCACCCCAATACTTTTTGTTCATTAATTTGCCACCCCAATACTTTCTGTTCATTAATTTACCACCCCAATACTTTCTGTTCATTAATTTACCACCCCAATACTTTCTGTTCATTAATTTACCACCCCAATACTTTCTGTTCATTAATTTGCCACCCCAATACTTTCCGTTCATTAATTTACAACTCCAATACTTTCTGTTCATTAATTTACCACTCCAATACATTCCGTTCATTAATTTACCACTCTAATACTTTCTGTTCATTAATTTACCACCCCAATACTTTCTGTTCATTAATTTGCCACCCCAATACTTTCCGTTCATTAATTTACAACTCCAATACTTTCTGTTCATTAATTTACCACCCCAATACTTTTTGTTCATTAATTTGCCACCCCAATACTTTCTGTTCATTAATTTACCACCCCAATACTTTCTGTTCATTAATTTGCCACCCCAATACTTTCCGTTCATTAATTTACAACTCCAATACTTTCTGTTCATTAATTTACCACCCCAATACTTTCTGTTCATTAATTTGCCACCCCAATACTTTCCGTTCATTAATTTACAACTCCAATACTTTCTGTTCATTAATTTACCACCCCAATACTTTCTGTTCATTAATTTACAACTCCAATACTTTCTGTTCATTAATTTACCACCCCAATACTTTCTGTTCATTAATTTGCCACCCCAATACTTTCTGTTCCTTAAGGAAAGTATTTGAGTGGTAAATTAAGATGTTTCTTCATGAGATTGATAAAAAAGTTAATTTTTTATTCTAAAGTATCAAATAATCTCAGAAGTTTTGTAGCCATCTCGCAATAACAAACAGTTTAAATGTGATTTGTAAGATATTGATTTCTTACCCAACTTCTCATTAGAGTTTTCCATTTCTATTCTCATCATGGCGGGATTAATCACCAAAGTTTACTGGAAGAACATAGGAAGAGTTGTATGGTCATTTAAGCCATATCATCAGATAGGTCGCTACCAACATGGTATGTTGTCCTTGAGCAATTCTTGCTATTATTATTCCTTAAAAAGAACTATATGGATTAAACTTCACACTTCCAATATAGGTCCCCATCAAACTGATCCCTATTTGTGCATATTTTCAATTTTGGGACTGGTCTGAAAATCTCAATGGTTGACAGCCATCTTGGATGTGATATTTTTTAAGTTTGCTGTAGATATTTCGTGACTACATCATGGACCATTATCAGATTTCATATGTAGGTTGTCTTTTGTCCTAATTTTTGTTTTGCAACTTTAGGACTGACTGGGAAACAATAGGCATACAGGTGGCCATTTTGGATTTGGATAATTGATAATTTATTATGGTCATTTCTTTAGTGAAACTAGATGGGCCATTCTCAGATTTCATGTTTGATGTCCCTTGTTGTGCATGTTTGATTTAAGGATCATTTAGAAAAGAGAGGAAAAGGAAGGAAATATCCAAATGATCAGATACAAATTATGATCCATTAATGGTGGTTACCATTATGATCCAACAATGGTGGTTACCATTATGATCCAACAATGGTGGTTACCATTATGATCCATTAATGGTGGTTACCATTATGATCCATTAATGGTGGTTACCATTATGATCCAACAATGGTGGTTACCATTATGATCCAACAATGGTGGTTACCATTATGATCCAACAATGGTGGTTACCATTATGATCCAACAATGGTGGTTACCATTATGATCCAACAATGGTGGTTACCATTATGATCCAACAATGGTGGTTACCATTATGATCCAACAATGGTGGTTACCATTATGATCCAACAATGGTGGTTACCATTATGATCCAACATAGTGGTTACCATTATGATCCAACAATGGTGGTTACCATTATGACAATGGTGGTTCCAACAATGGTGGTTACCATTATGATCCAACAATGGTGGTTACCATTATGATCCAACAATGGTGGTTACCATTATGATCCAACAATGGTGGTTACATGGTTACCATTATGATCCAACAATGGTGGTTACCATTATGATCCAACAATGGTGGTTACCATTATGATCCAACATTGGTGGTTACCATTATGATCCAACAATGGTGGTTACCATTATGATCCAACATTAGTGGTTACCATTATGATCCAACAATGGTGGTTACCATTATGATCCAACATAGTGGTTACCATTATGATCCAACAATGGTGGTTACCATTATGATCCAACAATGGTGGTTACCATTATGATCCAACAATGGTGGTTACCATTATGATCCAACAATGGTGGTTACCATTATGATCCAACAATGGTGGTTACCATTATGATCCAACATAGTAGTTACCATTATGATCCAACAATGGTTACCATGATGACCAAACAATGGTGCTAACCATTATGAGCCAACAATGGTGGTTACCATTATGATCCAACAATGGTGGTTACATCCAACAATGGTGGTTACCATTATGATCCAACAATGGTGGTTACCATTATGATCCAACAATGGTGGTTACCATTATGATCCAACAATGGTGGTTACCATTATGATCCAACAATGGTGGTTACCATTATGATCCAACAATGGTGGTTACCATTATGATCCAACAATGGTGGTTACCATTATGATCCAACAATGGTGGTTACCATTATGATCCAACAATGGTGGTTACCATTATGATCCAACAATGGTGGTTACCATTATGATCCAACAATGGTGGTTACCATTATGATCCAACAATGGTGGTTACCATTATGATCCAACAATGGAGGTTACCATTATGATCCAACAATGGTGGTTACCATTATGATCCAACAATGGTGGTTACCATTATGATCCAACATAGTAGTTACCATTATGATCCAACAATGGTGGTTACCATTATGATCCAACAATGGTGGTTACCATTATGATCCAACAATGGTGGTTACCATTATGATCCAACAATGGTGGTTACCATTATGATCCAACAATGGTGGTTACCATTATGATCCAACATAGTAGTTACCATTATGATCCAACAATGGTGGTTACCATTATGATCCAACAATGGTGGTTACCATTACGATCCAACAATAGTGGTTATCATTATGATCAATCAATGGTGGGTAACATTATGATCCAACAATGGTGGGTAACAATTCTAAAGGATATGCTGTTCAAGTTGGCGTATTTCTGGCTGTTTTAAACATTTTAAAGAACTCTTTCAACTAATTTCAGAATCAAAAATATTGCTCAGGTCAAGGGGGAACTGAAAATCGACCTAACTAGATCTATGTAAAAGTATTGTATGTTTGTTTACATGGTAAACTGAGGTGTTCAATTTCTATAAGCATATAAATAGATCATTTATTTCATATGAAATCCAAACTTGTGCAGAATATCTCTTTCATTTCTGATTAAAATATAAATGAATCATGATTGATTTTTCTTAGAAATTTTTGTCGGTTAAAAAAACTTATTACAAACTACACATTTAGCATATTGAGTATTTTATTACAATTTACAGGAAACTGATAAGGAGGTCATGAAAAGGAAATGTTTAAATGATAAAAAAAATACATTATCAATAATAGGACATCGATTACTGATCTTATTCATATTGCATAAAACTTAAATATAGGTATATACAAAATGTTACTCTTCAAATAAATTAATGAAATAGAAATTTCAACATACTTTTAAATTTGGTAAGAGATCACAAAATTGTAAGGCACACTAAATATTCAACCAGGGACGTCCCTGATTCAACCAACACATACTCAACAAGGAAAAATACTTCTCACATTTCCAAATGACATTATATCAAAATGGTCGTGTGCTTTTCCTCTTAAATTCCTTATATCTAATAATTTCATTTTCCAACTCGCCGAATAATTTACCTCCAGACCGACGAACATCAAAGTAATGATTTTCTCGGCAGTACATTACAACAAAATCATTCATTTGAAAATGTTTTGCGTCTAGGTCTTCTAACAACACAACGATTAGATTGTTAAATCGATTCTGAATTCCTTCAGTGACAGCCACCTCGAATTCGAAAAGACGATGAAACGACAGCATGTAGTCGTTATCTATAAAGGCCACTACACAGGCACTGTTGTTCATGGCATGAACTATGCCCGTCGTTTCTCTAAATCGGTCATCCCAATGTAACTCCGGTATGCACATAGAAACGCCTTTGTTTTTCATGTGAGCCTCGAAACGCTTAACAAATTCATTCGCTGAAGGATCGTGAGAAAAATAAACCGTGAATTCGAATTGATCTTGATTTGCTTCTTCGTCTTGTTGAACATTTTTTCCTAAAGGAACAACGTGTTTTCTACCTACACTAAAGAGGTACATCATACGAGACTGTTTATAGTAGGCGAGGGCGGGAAGTGATAGAAACAAACACAAACCAAAGAACACGCCCAGGCAAATGTAAACTACTTCCATTGCTACACAGTCCATTTCCATTTGTCCTGTTATGTCATCCAACGCAGCAAGATAAACAATACTACCATTGCTAGCTTTACACGTGTATCTCTTCAAGTTCCGGAACAGGAATTTTCTTACCTTCATCCACCGGAGTTGTTGTAACTGGTCACACGTGCATAGTAAAGGATTTCCGGTCAAGTCGATAGTGAAGTTTGACAACTTTACCAAATAATCCATCTCATCCATATTGATACGCGTTAGGCGTGTTATTGTATTATTTGAAAGATTGATCTCTCTTATGTTTTTCAACGATTTCATTCGGAAACTTATGACAGACAAAAAGTTTTGCTGGAGATCTAGTTGTTTCAGATTTATTTGTTTGGTAAAGACAAATTCTGGTAGATCGGTAAAACCATTATCACTCAAATTAAGATAAGTTAGCTTTGTCTGGTTGGAAAAAGTGAGAAACTGCTTGTCCTGCATGATAGTAAGACCGAGTCTGTTCCCGTTCAGAAGGAGAGTATGCAAATTAGCCATGTCACCGAATGTGTCTGGAGCCAATCGGAACATAGCATTAAAGGAAATATTTAAAAAACTCAAGGAATGTAAACCTGACCATTTCCCATACCAGGCGTGGACCCCGTTTGACGACAGGTCTACATATTCTAGAGAGTTATTGGAATCGAATGTGAGCGGTGGAGCAGATAAAGGGTTTATCTTTAGATTGCTTCCGAGGATTTTTTTCACCTTCACGGGTAAATAAATCATATCATCCATTTTCTTTCTGTCGGGGCGTGAAGAAATATATCGGAGTTTTTTCGGCTCCATCGTACTTTGCTGCGAAACTACTGCAACCTTCTTGAAATATCTTGTAAGGGTAGACGTTGGGGCTACCACACTCCCGGCCATTTGCACCTTCTCTATTCTATCCCTCTTTCCGTCCGTCCAAATAGAGAGTGCTGGAAAGGTGTGGTTTTCATGCTGTAACGTTTCCCCCAGTTTTTCTCTAATGGAATAATCCAACTGGTAGCTTACATCAAAAACTAAAAGATTGTTCAAGTGTACCAAGTTAGCTAAGAAGTGTGCATCGGTCAAATAATTTTCTCGAATAGTCAGTAACTCTAAAGATGTAGGAAGGATATCTATAACACCTCCTTCTATGTTGGTAATTCTGTTTGAATCTAAAGTCAATACTTTAATGTTTGTCATATTAAAATAAACAAAATCAGATTGCTTCAGTGTCCAAGGATCACTGTGTCTGTTAATTCCATTCAAATACAGAATCTGAATATTTGTTAGGTCTAATCCAAAGCTCGCATTTTTCATTCCGGCAAACGACATCCGGTCATTTTTAGACAAGTCTAATTCAGTTAAATGTTTGAGCATTGAGAATGCCCCTCGCGCTACCCTGTATATGTCACATTGTATCAACCTCAGTTCAGACAATGTGGAATTGCTGAGGTTGGTAAATGTATTGGCGCGGATATCGAGCAGCACACAGGAACTTTCATCATCTCGGACCGACATATCAAGTGTAGTCAGATACCTTAAATTCCTAAATCCTTCTCCAAATGCAATATTTGGAAGACCGTCCATTGTCAATGCTTTCAGAGACTGGACATCAGAAAGTGCCACATCCGGGTAGTTTTGATTCTCGGTCGATTGTTTGATGTTTCCGTGGATATTCAGAACTTTCAATTTTTTAAGAAATCGGAATATTCCCGGAGAATACACTTCTGTTGTCATCTTGAGACTGTTATAGCTCATATTAAGATTTATCAACGACTTAAGTCCCTCAAAGCAGGAGTTTTCCAAAACTGTTATTTGGTTGTGCGATACGTCAAGTGTCTGGAGATCTGGTAGGTTTCTAAATGTCCCATTGTGAAGCACTGCTAACTTATTGTTGGCAAGAGACAGGCGTATTATGGAAGATGGGAAACCGAACTTTGGGGGAATGCGTTCCCAGTTCAGATCTGAACAATCTAAAGTTTTAATCGTCTTTCCTTTGTAGATACACGAACACGGAACAGGACAACTCTCGGGCACTGCTCGGACTCCATAAAATGTGTTCAAGGACAAAGTAAACAAGAGATGGATGAAGAAGTTAAACGACATGCTGATGTGTCACTGTATCTATTAACAATGGTAACCTGTGCAGACTTCGGCAACAGTAGCTGAAAATACAGAGATAAACAAATATTTCTGCCTCATTTGATTTGGTCGTGAATTAAAACAAAGGAGTAAAATTATGTTAGTATAAGCCACACACATATTTATATATATGCAAGGGTAAAAAAGTAAACAGAAAATCATAGCCAGTTTCATGTTGTTGTTTTTTTTATAAAAATGCATTTGCCCCCTTAATAATTCTCGTAAAATGGACTGTTTGAAACTACAGTAAAATTAACCCCCCGATATATATGAACCAACGACATGTGTATAGAACCCCCCTCCCGATATATATGAACCAACGACATGTGTATAGACCCCCTCCCGATATATATGAACCCACGACATGTGTATAGACCCCCCTCCCCCGATATATATGAACCCACGACATGTGTATAGACCCCCTCCCGATATGTATGAACCAACGACATGTGTATAGACCCCCCCTCCCCCGATTGATATGAACCCACGACATGTGTATAGACCCCCCTCCCCCGATATATATGAACCCACGACATGTGTATAGACCCCCCTCCCCCGATATATATGAACCCACGACATGTGTATAGACCCCCTCCCGATATGTATGAACCAACGACATGTGTATAGACCCCCCTCCCCCGATTGATATGAACCCACGACATGTGTATAGACCCCCTCCCGATATATATGAACCCACGACATGTGTATAGACCCCCCCTCCCCCGATATATATGAACCCACGACATGTGTATAGACCCCCCCCCCCCCGATATATATGAACCCACGACATGTGTATAGACCCCCCCTCCCCCGATATATATGAACCCACGACATGTGTATAGACCCCCCTCCCCCGATATATATGAACCCACGACATGTGTATAGACCCCCCTCCCCCGATATATATGAACCCACGACATGTGTATAGACCCCCTCCCCCGATATATATGAACCAACGACATGTGTATAGACCCCCCCCCTCCCCCGATCCCCCGATATATATATATGAACCACGAACCCACGACATGTGTATAGACCCCCCCCTCCCCCGATATATATGAACCCACGACATGTGTATAGACCCCCCTCCCCCGATTGATATGAACCAACGACATGTGTATAGACCCCCCCTCCCCCGATATATATGAACCAACGACATGTGTATAGACCCCCCCTCCCCCGATATATATGAACCAACGACATGTGTATAGACCCCCCCCCCGATATATATGAACCCACGACATGTGTATAGACCCCCCTCCTGATTGATATGAACCCACGACATGTGTATAGACCCCCCCTCCCCCGATATATATGAACCAACGACATGTGTATAGACCCCCCCTCCCCCGATATATATGAACCCACGACATGTTTATAGACCCCCCTCCTGATTGATATGAACCCACGACATGTGTATAGACCCCCCCTCCCCCGATATATATGAACCAACGACATGTGTATAGACCCCCCTCCCCCGACTGATATGAACCCACGACATGTGTATAGACCCCCCTCCTGATTGATATGAACCCACGACATGTTTGGCTTTATATGGAATCATTTTACCTATCTGTCCATTACAAATGTCATAAACTTCATCAACGTAAACCGTCCGTTAATCTAGGTCATATGAATGTTTACCAAGCTCATTATTCTCACTGGCTTCTGACATTACAGATATCTTCAAATTCATTATTCGAATTCGTTAACATATCTCTCTGATATCCCAACACAGCGTGATATAATAACAAAAAATCAATATCTATACTCTATCAAATCTATCAATCTAGTGCACATGCACTCTTTATTTACGCTTAGTTAGCAGTAACGAATGACATCAAACGACAGCTCTGTTCTCGACTGGGACCGTCTGCGTAGACAATGTACTTATAGCTAGGACGACAAGAGAAAGTATTCTATACCATTTTATTATCTAATTTTAATACTAGATCGTCTAAAAGTAAAGTTCTTTTTGCATGAGCACGCTGAAATATCATAATATACATAATGGTACACTTACATGTGTTTGTATCAGGTACACACATGTATCGCGTGTAGCATGTATAGAACATTAAGTATTGCTTCAAGTCCACACGAGTTATCTACCGTGACGGTCCCAGTCAAGGACAGAACAGCTGTCTGTTACCACTTCTGGGTAGCTATTACCAGGAAGTACAGCGAGGCAGCAGTTTTCTTAGAATTTGGAAGTGTATACACATGCACTGCAGTGTACAAAAACTTTTAGACAAAGAAATGACGACATCAATTTTGCATTATCTATCGACTAAATCGACTTAACCCGAATGTCAGCCTTTACCAGCTGCCAATTAAACTACTCCAGAACAGATTGACAAAAAAGTAATGGCTGTAATCCATGGACATGCAAACTGACGTAACTTACCTCCCTACGGGCAAGCGATCAAAACCAATAGTAGAAGGCTACTCCAGACATTTTATACACCGAGCTAATATGTTGAACACATTGAAATACTCGAGCAAGTAAATGACAGACAGTACTTTACCTGACTACAGCCAGACGATCCACACCTAGAGCTACAGCGAAGACGAGTCCTTAATACAAATGGACACCGCGTTGTGCACGAGGATATTGATTACTCGTCATGCATGGCCACAAATGTGTAACTAAACACTCAATGTCGATCCCGTTCCACTAACCCCTCTTTGGAACAGAGTCAACAAATTCATCTTGTTTACTTTAGTTTTCCAAATGCACCTACCAGCCGTAGGTATAACAGACGCCGATGTCGGTTGAAATCGTAAGAAGATTAAAACGACCTCTAGAAACAGCACGGTGATTTTCCAACCAAAGACCAGTACATTTGTTTGCTTCAGCGCTGACATTTTGGGGGTCAAACTTGACATAATTTTATGCCGCCGAGAATTTATAATACACTATTTTAAGTAAATTATACTTCAGATTCAAAAGTCTGTATTCAGCTCTTCAAAAATCTAGCTACCATGGCTACGTCACTGTTTACATCAGGCACTCGGAATAATTGACCGACATTGTGTTTATCATAAATATATCTTATACCTTGTCTATTGACCATAACATGTAGCTCTCTAAATATATCTTATACCTTGTTTAACTCTCTAAATATATCTTATACCTTGTCTATTGACAATAACATGTAGCTCTCTAAATATATCTTATACCTTGTGTAACTCTCTAAATATATCTTATACCTTGTCTATTGACAATAACATGTAGCTCTCTAAATATATCTTATACCTTGTTTATTGACAATAACGTGTAACTCTCTAAATATATCTTATACCTTGTCTATTGACAATAACATGTAGCTCTCTAAATATATCTTATACCTTGTCTATTGACAATAACATGTAACTCTCTAAATATATCTTATACCTTGTCTATTGACAATAACATGTAGCTCTCTAAATATATCGTATACCTTGTGTTACTCTCTAAATATATCTTATACCTTGTCTATTGGCAATAACATGTAACTCTCTAAATATATCTTATACCTTGTCTATTGGCAATAACATGTAACTCTCTAAATATATCTTATACCTTGTCTATTGACAATAACATGTAGCTCTCTAAATATATCTTATACCTTGTTTAACTCTCTAAATATATCTTATACCTTGTCTATTGACAATAACATGTAGCTCTCTAAATATATCTTATACCTTGTTTAACTCTCTAAATATATCTTATACCTTGTCTATTGACAATAACATGTAGCTCTCTAAATATATCCGATACCTTGTGTAACTCTCTAAATATATCTTATACCTTGTCTATTGACAATAACATGTAGCTCTCTAAATATATCTTATACCTTGTGTAACTCTCTAAATATATCTTATACCTTGTCTATTGACAATAACATGTAGCTCTCTAAATATATCCGATACCTTGTGGTAATCTCTAAATATATCTTATACCTTGTCTATTGACAATAACATGTAGCTCTCTAAATATATCCGATACCTTGTGTAAATCTCTAAATATATCTTATACCTTGTATATCGACAATATATTGTAGCTCTCTAAGTCTCGTAAATGCACGTGTTGACGTTCCAACACTCGAAGCTTGACGTGTAAAACCAGACAAGTGATATGCACGATCAATATTTAATGTTCGCTTAGTCATGGGATATTGGAGTATATTGGATGTGATCACATGCGACTAACTGTAAGTTTTTTCATTGTTTTCTATGCCAGCGGATTTCTGAGAACACTTAATCATAGGAAATATCGGGGCAAATAACTACTCAGGGACTTATATTACGGGAACATTGACCAACAATGATCCTCTTCCCCATATAGTTCTTGGAGCTTATCTGTCTATGGTCTGTATGTGACCTTGCCCAAACCAAACTAGTGTACTTTTTGGCGTTAGAATTAGTTCATTAATGGACCCAATTACATTCAGATGTATCAACACATCATTAAGTATTTGGCTGCTATTTCTAGATTAGTCGTATCAACACACACACACACAAATTAAATTATATCATACTGCTATAATTAGGCATTAACCTAAAGAACTTTATCAAGTTGAAAATGAATTAGCATGAATTTATTACGAGATGAAGCAGCCGACCGTGACGGAATTTATTACGAGATGAAGCAGCCGACCGTGACAGTACTTTCCGTGAATCACAAAACCCTTACACTTATAATACAACTCAAATCGGGCTTACAGTCTTATTGTCGAAATTGAAGGAACGCCTTCTTTCTCTTCCTTCTCCATGGAAGGTGAACGGCGATATATAAATATATGGTTGTGAACTATACTGATTTTGTAAAAAAACTACTTCAAAAATCGAAGAAGAATTACACGGAGGGCGAAATCATTAAACATTATCGAGTTTTTGGTTGACAACATCTTCGTTGAGTTAGGTGGTAAGACCTTCCAACAGACTATTGGCATACCTATGGGAACCAACAGCGCCCAGCTGTTGGCTGACTTATTTTTGTTTTCATACGAGACTGAGTTTATAGAAGATATTATCAAAACAGATCACAAAGACCTTGTAAAGTCGTTAACTTTCACCATCAAATGACACATCGTTTTAAATAACAAGAAATTTATTGACTACGTCCATCGTCTATATCAACCAGAACTGGAAATCAAAGATACGACAGGCCCTCTTTCATCAGCTGCTTCTGTCGATCTTTTCCTACAACGAAACCAACATGGGCAGCTTTTCATCATGCTAAATGATCAACATGATGATTTCAATTTTCCTATCTTAAATTTTCCATTTCTGGATAGCAATATTCCTGCATCTCCAACCTATGATATATACACGTCACAGTTGATTCCATATTCAGAGGCATGTTCCCATTAGCACGATTTTCGCTAGGAAGAAATCACCACCTGGCCGATAAACTCGTAACAAAAGGGTTCAAAAGATGCAGGTTGTTGAAAACTTTGGGAAGTTGTATGGTCGCCATAGTTATCTGATTGAGAATTATTCTATTTCTTTGTGTGACATGAAGCTGAACGTATTTGATGCTCGTTAGTTTGCCTGTTGGTTCCTTTGTGTATACCTTCTTCTCATCCGAGAACTTGACATTACTTACTTAAATCGACCAAAGTTTACATGGCGGGTGTCGTCGATGAAGCAGAAGACGCTTATTCTTTCGGAACATTTTTCTTATTCTCCGTGTACTTTTTCAGTGGTCTTCGTGTAAATCTTTCTTTTGTTCCTGTTTTGCCATAGTCTTATGGAATTTGAGCTTGATCTCTTCCCCCATAAAGTCTGTCAGCACCGCACGAAAGGATAAGTTTGAAACAAGATGTCTAGATATGTGTTTATGTCCGTTTCAAACATAAAACATCTAGCACCAGAATACAGCAAAATTTCAAGGTAGCATGTTACCAATATTTTAATAATAGGAATATGTTGATGGATATCAGTATTATATTATCTCAAATCAAGTCAAAACCTGGTTATTGTTACAAGGCCGGCGTTGCATTGCAGCAACTACATTTATCGAAATTTTCACCAGAAGTTAACATGACCATGTTTGGGTCATTTTACAGTAGACCGAGGAATTCTACAGAATTATATATACAGTAGGTGCAAATGGCTCAACACGTGAAGCACAACGTCAATAGACTGATAACGAGGTTGTAACACTTCCGCTGAAGGTTAATACTTTGACAGGTTAGTAACACTTGAAGCACAACATCAGTAGACTGATAACGAGGATGTAACACTTCCGCTGAAGGTTAATACTTTGACAGGTCAGAAACACTTGAAGCACAACATCAGTAGACTGATAACGAGGATGTAACACTTCCGCTGAAGGCTAATACTTTGACAGGTTAGTAACACGTGAAGCACAACGTCAGAGTTAATGTCGTAAGTGGCTCGTGTCCCGGAAAGGTTTTTTAAATTAAATTGTGCATCTGATAAGAGATGTTCCGAAATGAATAAAACCCATATGACCCTGGAACTACAACAGCGCCTTGAACATCAGCAATGATACTGGATTATATTTGTTCTTTCTTTCTTGAAAATTTATTTTAGCAATATCAGAACGCCCGCACGTCCTAAGATCAATGTCAAACGAAAGCATTTTGACACAGAAACATAAATATCTTAAGTTTATCATACAAAATATCTCATTACTTAATTTTAAAAAATATGTAATTTTCAAGAGATGACGTTACCGGGAAACTTTACAAAGGGTAATGTCACCGTTTTCCTAACTTCACATGTTTCCACAGCAAGTTTGAAAAAAAAGCTTCGATGTTGAAAAGTCACTGATGTATTCACTTCCATGTTTCGTTGTAACTGTATTAGTACACGTAATTTCGTCGCAAGACGTAGCCAAAATATGGATATTAAATAGGCTTACAAGGCGACAAAATAATATTAACATTATGATTATGTTCTGTTCGAGAACAGAAAAAGGATTGCCGGGTCTCTCGCCCTATGGACAGCAAGAAGAATTTTGGGGTAGGGGTCTCCCTGTAGCTCCCGATTACCCCACTGAACATCATGCGAAAGTTCCGTGGCATGCTATCAAGAACAATCAGGATAAGACGTGTTGCTCAATGACAGATCACAAGCAAAAGGCTGATCCTAGCTTCTTGAAAAACAAACCCGTGTAAAATCGAACTACACACCTCAGATATTTACCCGAGTTCGCACCACACCATGAAAAAAATACGAAGCATTCTAAATTGTCTAATCAGAGGCAGATCAACTGGTAGTTTATTGAAAATCATATACTTCAAACATTATACGTAATCAATGATAAAATATTTGTTTTATAGACATTAGTTCAAGTATCAGTAAGTTTCCAGAACAACACAGCAGCACCTTAAAACGTATATATCAAAGTATGCTTTGTTGTTGAAGACTGCTTAAGTTTTCTGAAAGTTATTTTTTCATATCCACGTGAGCTTTTTGTGGCGGGAAAAACCGGTCAGGCGGTGTCATAACTCGTATCGGTGTACGTAAACTTACAGGACCTATCTAGGACAGGACGTATGGTCACTAAACATCTCTTGGGCACTTACAAATATCCGTGTGTGAAGTAACATAGTCCCCGGATTACGTCATAGAGTAATCAATTCTATCCGGAGGACAAGTTTCGTATATACGTCTCAAATTACGAGAAAAGTCCATCTCCGAAACCCATGTAATATTTCCTGCAGAGTTAGATGGTTGTTCAGAAAAAAACACAATGATTTCGAAGTTACGAAACGATCAACGAAAATGATTGGGCAAAGCGTGGTCTGTAGCGAATTCCCAGTTACAGAGATATAATTAGTAATTAATAACAGGATACTGATATTTTCAGTAAGGGGACACAATTGCGGATTATAAGCACTAAGTTGGACAAAAATAAAAACGAGACTATTTAATATCATGCTATTGATTATTAGGTATTATCTGTCTCGTACGGTAGGTCACTTGATATATGGATATATTTTTCAGTTATATGGATGTTTTAGTTCTCAGATTGGTGAACACTTCGTTTGACATTAGTTTAAAGAATAACAAAATATTTTCTAACATTACATATTTTTATTTACACTTTCACTTAATAACCACTGTAATATATGTACATCATTTTATTCCTTTGCTGACCAAAGAATCATCGTCTGCTTTAATGACGGGATTCTCATTGACGAGACATCGTCTTTCTACCCTGTCACCGCCGCGCAGCTTTCTTTTCCTCAGCTCTGAGGTCCATGACGATTTCTACGAAGAGGAAGAAAAGGCTGGCCGCTAGTTTATACCATGAACTAGGCTCTTCCGATGTAGTATCTTGACCTCTGGTCATCCCTGCTTGACACATGAACAGTAATGACAACACGATGACGTAAGCTTGTATATTCATCCTGTAGCTTTTCTCTGTATCAAAAAATAAAAAAAACTTACATGACATAGGGAGAGAAAAGAAGGGGAGAGGTGTGTGTCTGATTGGACTGTGCTGTTAGTCATCAGATACAATACAACTGTTGTGTACATATAGAGCAAGATGGCTATTTTGATTTAATGAAGCGGATTCAACAGAGTATTTCCAAACAAAAACTCATTTTCTTGTCTTACCCTTGCAACACAGCTGATCATAAGAATTTTAAAACACCCATCCCATCCCCCTCTAGACCCCAACCAAGATATTGACCTTAAGAGTCTTGCACGCTATCGTCGATTTTAGAACAACATTAGAGTCTGTATTGAACAGTTATCGTGTTTTAGTGTAAACAATTAAAATTAAAATTAAGGACATATATAAGTGAAGTGCCCATTTCAGCAGCGCATTCAGTCACCACGTCTATATACAGACCATGTACGTGTTGTTGGCGAAATTAAAATTAGGGACATAAACATGTACAAAAAGCCTAAATAATTAAATTCAGTAACATCCTTTCAGTTGAATGAATGATATTTTCCTAGACACATTATATATAAATAACATGATCCTGTCTCTGTCACTATTTAATTACACTCGTTCTATATCGGTGGAATTTACAACACTTCACACCCAAAGGAACTATCAATCCTTGTTTGCCATTTTGTATCTAGTGGTATCTTAACAATGCCACGTGTTGATCTTTAAAATCCTTTTGGAAGTATATAAGTGTCTTTGAGTGGTTTCCACGTGTTTTTCTAGCGTCTTCGTCTTTATCTCAGTAGTATGTTAATGTACGATCAATACATACACAGATATAGATAGCGACTTGTTTTTAACAGAAATTGATATAGCAGATAATATTTTCCGTACTTGTCCTTTTTTTGAATTTCGAAACTCCACATTTACCGTGTTTGAGTATGATAAAATAAACAACAACATTGTAACGTTACATCACTATAGAACCACTTACCATTAGACGATCTAGACGTACATTGCAGCTTTTTTACAAAATTAAACACAATATAGCACCCAATTACCTAACATCTCTCCTTCCACCCTTAGTCTCAGAAAACTCTCAATATAACCTTCGGAATGCTAATAATTACTCTATACCCAATTACCGTTTACAGCTTACAAATTCCTCCTTCTTTCCCTCTACAATCCAACTATGGAATCAGTTAGATAATGAAATCCGACAAAGTGTAACATATTCGTCTTTACAACATTCTCTTCTTTGTGTTAGAGATACTCAAATTCCCTTCTATTATCCAATTGGTGACAGAAAAATTAACATTTTACATTCTAGATTAAGAAACAAATCAAGCGCTCTAAATAATGATTTATTTCATGCTAATTTGGTTAATTTTTAACACTGTCAATGTGGAAATTCTATTGAAGATGCACATCATTTCTTTTTTGAATGCATTAATTATGCCGATCAACGTTTACAGTTTTATCGTGAGCTAAATGATTTCATCCCACTGGACCTGCACCTTCTGTTATTTGGAAATTCTTATTTTTCTAAACAGGAAAATGAAACTATTTGTCAATCAACCCAACTGTATATAAAAAATACTAATAGATTTAATTAGACCTTATTTTATAGTAAATTTATATTTGGTCTTTCCTGACTCGGGTGACAAAAGTTTGAGAAAAGTTATTCCAGAAGGACCAGCAAGTGACAAGGAGAAAGACATCGGTGGCACGGGATGTGATAGACAATAGATAGGTTTGAATGACAAGAACAGTGGATCAGTATTTATAATGGTGATTGTCACCCGACTCGGGATAGACAACATTACTTATTGTTCTTAGTAAGAATTATATGTAGTCTTCAACACGTATATGTTGTTTTTGTAACTCTCTCTCTTTCTCCCCCCCTTCTCTCTCTCTCTCTCTTTCTCCCCCCCCTTCCTCTCTCTCTCTCTCTGTTTATGATTGTATATATATATGTATATATAACAATAGGTCATCATCAACATTTATATTAAATACTAATTACTTGGAACGGTGTTAGTATAAGTTGGAAAACTTGTGCCCAATCCTTTATGTATATTTATATGCAATAAAATATGTTTAAATCAATCAAACGTTACACCACTGCCACATTTGGTTGATGTTACTATTAACTTTATATACGGTAACTCTGCCTTCTATAAATGTGGCACGTGTCTACATCAGGGTTAAGATGCACTTTTATGGTAATGTTTTTCTATAGTTATACATACACTTTGAAGTGCGCGTACGAGTAATTAAAGCGACATCCGCTACCTGAAATAGCTTATGAAAAAATGTTTATAATTTCAAATTTCAACTTGCAATCCTTTTCGGACATCAACCCTATCTGTGCTACAGAACAGAAAGCATATGCTCATTAAATTTTTGGGCCATTTTTTTCAATGGTTTTGTAATCAGCGCTTGTACCATTTTTTAAATAAATGATTTGATTTTTATCTATCTAAACGTTGGTGCAGGTGTGCGCTGTGTGCCAAAATAGAATTTGAAGTCAGCTATGTTTTAATGCAGTGCTCAAACGGTAACAACTCTGAGGATCTGTCAAAAGTAATGCATGAAACACATCCAATATTCTCTTTGTGGTCCTGTGCTTTTGGATACAATTCATTCAAATTACCTTGGTAAATTAACAACACTAGAATGTTTGATTACAACGATTGTATGTACCTTACATTTGTATATTACATCAACGTGTGACATTAAAAAGAATAAATCTGTACATTAAATTCTAATTTAAATTTTCTCACGTCAAGGTCAACATGTCCTTTCTTCTAATCAATAAAAATAAAAACATACAGACAGACTACATTTCAACACTCATCAAGTAACAAGGGAAAATAATGCTTACCGTTTTCTCTTCCAGCAGGTGTGAATATAGGAAGTATGTAGTGCTTCGTACGACACCTGTTAATATAGTGACCTTGGTCCTACATCCTGCTTGACCAATATAGCAGCGCATACCCCGCGGTCAACTTGTGCCAGTAAACCAGATCTTAAGTCCACCTGTTACATTGTAAACCTCTGCCTTGTACATCCAACTAATGTACTTGATAAATGATGATTTTACCAATGTTAAATTTTATATGGCGGGACTGAATGGTGGTTGCTGGGTTTGCGGGTAGTAATCCCAAATGATTAATTTAGATTTATAAATTTCTACTATAAAATTACGATGACGTCATATCCTTACATCATACTAAAACATGGCACTTTCGCAATTTTGGACAAAGATTGAATTTTATTTTGCGAATTGTGACCTTAATGCTGTTATTTTTAGACAGAAATACTATTGATGAAACTCATTCTAACACTTTACATTAAAATGTTGACATTAACTCGCCGGATCGCTGAGCTGTGAATGACTTATTACTTGTCTATATCGAAATACATTTCCAAAAATTAAATTTCTTAAGCAAATTTAACAAACGATTTGATATTAAACAAACATAATACGATTTTTATTCTTTTTCGTTTTGGTCGGCAAATTAATATAGGATGTCATGATTTCTCACTTGTTACTGTCGGTTTTCTAGTCAAGACAAAGTTTTCTCGAGCCGTATAATACATGTCTTGATACGGCACCAATTGTCGTGTTAAGTTTCCTGACGTCATCACAGTTATGTTCCTTTTTATAAAACCGGATGTATAAATGTATAGCGAAATTTTGACCCCAGTCATAGTTTCCCTCAAATATAATGTTTCGATGTTCACCATCTGGCGAGCAAAAAGTCATGTATTCAACATGAATCCATTCAGGATGTTGCCGTGCGATCTTGGTCGGTACAAACAGAGAGAATTCCCAATACCGTAACGGGTCGTACGTGTAGTCACGGTACCGTGACAGCCACTTGCGAGTAAACATGGCGTCTGGCTCGGCTAGAATAAGTCCATTCGAAAGGTTTGACCAGTATTCAAGACTCATTGTAACTGAATAATTCCTTAAGGAGTTGAGGTTTCGGAAAAGGATACTGTCTATGTCGAAATATATCCCGCCGTATTCTACAATGAGAAAAATAAGAATTTAATACTGGTATTTTTGGGAGAGGTTCCTGGCGTTCAAAATGACAAGCTTCTGTAATGAGTCAAATTTTTGTTGTATGTTTTCTGGTGAAAGAGACATAAGACTAGACGTGTTTCTAGTAAACTGGTGTGGAATAAGCTGTAGATGAAGGTAAAGGAATTTGCCACGAAATCCTTACCCACGACCCATATATACATATATATATACATGTTAGTGTAAATTCATTTTCAACTCGATAAGTTCTTTCGGTAAATGCCTAATTATAACAGTATGATATAATTTTATTTGTGTGTGTGTGTGTTTGTGTGTGTATGCGCGTGCGTGCGTGCGTGCGTGCGTGTGTGTGATTGGGTGGGTAGGTGTGGGTGTGTGTGGGTGGTGACAAGCGGTGTAACTCCCGAGAACGAACAACTGAACATTTTATCAATTACGTTTTTTTATTTTCTACAGACTGCAGATCTTAGTAGCAGACACATAACCTTAAAGAAAAATGTCTTATCTTTCCAATGAGTGTTTAATAATAATATATATAGGGACCGTGGATCGTGAATTCGTGCCCTGTTGAAGGTTATCAAAGCCATTCTATTTATTAATATGATAATGCCGATTAGCTTTAATTCAGTGTAAATGCCCTATGTTTGTGAAGTGACATGTGAAACGTGTAGTTGTAACATGATATATCAAATTACCAACTCACGTCTTCGAATGAAATAATATTATTTTTGTCTTATCATCAACCACTTGTACCGAGTAATATGATGTCCAGACCATTGGATCAAAATTGTTCTAAGGGGGGTAACTCTTATAAGCTTTCATGTGTTTGATTATTTTGATGCAACGTTCAATGAGGATACGGAAAATAAGTATAAACTGGGATTTCCAACCAGGATTTCTTCGTGTGTAGGAGGCAGCCATCAAGGTTGAAAGTATCAAATCTCCTCAATCATTACTATAGACAAATTCTAGGTAGACCTTATCATGACAAAAAGTGTGAAAGTTTACTTTCCTTGATAACGCTATTGAAAATTGAAACAACGTTGTTAACAAACAAATAAACTTGTCTGCTTGCAAACATCACATCTGAAAAACGGTAACACATTTCATGAAGCATACCTGTTTTTTGTACGCTACTGAAAAGATGTTGTTCAGACGTAAATAAAGCCAATATAGTTAAATCAACAAAAATATAGATAATAGTATATTTCTTTCTTTAAAAAATTGTGTTGTGTAATTTGATTCATGAACAAACTGTGAAATAACCACGTTGATGTAATTATGATACATGATGTATGTCAGTTTCACTCCACTTTGGTGTGCAATAGCAATTTTGATACACGGAGTTATTTCCCTTGATACGATTTAACTTTCTTTTTTGATCATAGCTCGTGCCACAAATTTGCCTAGCAAACTTAAACAAAGGCAAGACTAATGGCATGACTAAACTTCCGGATTTATTTATATACTTATCATTTTGTTCATGTTAGTGTTTGTCAGTGTTTTTACACTGCCAGGTGCCAGCGACCTTTTACTAACAAATTACCTACCTTTAATGACAAACAATCGCACGAGATCCGATTTGTGCTCCATGGAGACTAGTGGTTTTCCTCCAAAGGTGCCCGGGGGGCTTGTGGCCACATGAATGATATTAGGTACGACTCTGGCGAGGTATCTCCAATATGGACCCCCGGGGAGGTGGCCGTGCACAAGGATTACACAGGGTTCCTGGAACAAATGTACGCTCATGACACTCAAAAAATGGAAAAATGTCATGTTTTTCATATTGAACCAGATGTAGTGAGCTACGTTGGGTACTTTATAGCCATCTGAAGAGCAAAAGTCCTTTAGAGCGTTAAACAGGCATGGGTCACCAGAGGGTATAGACAAGACTCTGAAGTCATTAGTGAGGTCGAGGAATAATTCAGCCTTGCCAACACCGCAGCGGATCTGCAGTTTGTAGTGGGACGCATGGTTTTCTCCATCTATGTCTATAGCTGGCGGACACGTGGTGTACTCTTCAGGGTTATATACATGTCCTAGAATAGAAAAAAAATGAAATGTTAATTCCTTAGTGGTATGCATACACTTGCCGCCTGTACTGTACAAATTAACGCTATGAATTCATTGTGAACGTGTCAAAGGTCATCTGAGACCTCGTTATAATGCCTAATGTCATTTAACTTTCGATATTGTGTCTAAAATAAATACCCCAATTATATCAGACGTCTGAATAATATGTAATGCTGTTAAGTCTCGTTATTATGCTGATAAATCCATACCGTCAATAGTAAACCTATGCTATATTTTTAATAAACAAAAAAATATACAATGTCTGGTCATTTCATCCCATCCGGACGATCATACTTCTGTTATCTAAAACTGCCGTCGGAGGCGACAAATGTTTGAATTCCATTTACATCTTGTAGAAATGCACAATTACACTCGGTACAATGCATCTCATGTATCTATATATATGTCAATTTCAGTGAAATCGATTATGATCCCGTGGCCTGGTCGACGATTGAATCGACAGCCAAATGAATTTAGTTCAATGTGACTGAACGAATACTTTGCAGGAGTTATCGCCCCTAGAAGGCACTCCATATAATGTAGCTCTCCCATATGCCGCTTTCGCGTGAGCTGTTGATTCGGCAAGTGCAGTTTGAGGGGAACAGCTGTACCTGTGTTAGATCGTGAACTGCCTTTATATCATAAGTTTTCAGAGTTTACGCACATGTTATGATATTTTGTTATGGGTTCATCGTTTTGACAGGAAATTACATGTTACATGTAACTTTTCAAACATCTTCTACAGTTGTGGTCGGTTATTGTGACAAAATTCCGTTGTACGAATATTGATTATATATATATACGTCCCGTTGTTTAGTTTGTTTTGTTTTTTTCATCTCCATCGTATGTTACTCACAACGAACATAAGATAAGTTTATTTCTGGTTCAGGACTTGTCATAGTCCTCTATACCAGGCTCATTACAATACAGTACAAATACATATATCCGGTACTGGACTTGATATCTAATTCTGGATTGTTGCTTTATAATAAAAGAAAAGTTCTTGGTTTTTCCAGCGATCATCTAGTCGGTTTTAAATAAATTCACATTCACAGCAGATCCAACGTTTTCTGGTAGTTCATTCCAAATTTTTACTGTTCTGTTTGAAAAATGTTTTTTTCTTAGCATAGCTGGGGATCGTTAGGAAATATTGTATTTTTTTAATGACCTCTGTGACTATGGCGGTCCGAGGCATCTCTCCATAATGTTATAGCATTAAAACATTCATTATCATAAACCTGACTTGTTATCTTATACAGTTCTATCATATCTCCCCTTATTCTCCTGAATATAGATAATATATATATACGTCCCGTTGTTTAGTGTTTTTTTTATCTCCGCCGTATGTAACTCACAATGGTGTATTTGTCCCCCGTTTTAACTCGTTCGCTTCTCAACACTTAATTAGAATAAAAACATTGGCATTGAATATCCATTGGCCATGTAGATTATATAAAAAAGACTACTGAAGTGACAATGTCGCATGATTTGGCAAGAAAAAAAATATATATCTATATTATAAACAAAATGAGGACGATTTCATCATTAAGTTATCTACCCCGTGGCTGGTTAGTTATTTCATCTCTCGAACCAATAGGCGCATAGAGGAGAGGTTTACCGAATGTGAGATCCTTTGATTCCATAGATGGAATGATACAGGCCGGAATGACCCCTTGAATTTTGCTTAGTTGTCATTATTTTTCGATACATCAAACTGGTCTTTGTATAATGATCACCTTATTAACAATCTATCTTCGAAACAAATATCAAGGAGATTGCATCATATGTATATTACGTCACACACATACCATTGTGCCTCACGTGCACTTACCTGTGGAGGTGAAGATTTTACCCTGGCCTTGTAAGTAATGGTAGGATGTTTCCACATACAGGACAGCGTTTCCGATATAAGCATAGCCGATAATAAGTAAACAGCCAATCAGAATCACACAGGGCGACCGCTTTAGTCTGGAGACCAGTCTCCTCTTCAGGAGCACGACATTGGCCATAGCTCGGACCGGATATCACACGACATCACACGTCGCTGTTTAAATGGGGTACCCGAAGGGATGCATGATGTTGTCGTTGTTTTTGTGGGTTTTTTCCAATGACTGATGAACATTCGCTTCGAGCATGTACATGAACATGTATTGATCCATAACTTCAAGTTTTTTAAGTGAAAAAAGTTTGTTTTTTCTTTCTTTTTTGAAATGTTTTGTTTACTGTCCGGATTAATTACAACTTTACTCTGGATACTATTTTTCCGGACCTGGCTGTTGTCTAGTATTCCGGATGTGAATAATAACAGTTTAAGCGGAATTATGATGAGATAAAACAAAATGTATATATGTATTATTATTCATTGCGGCAGTGTGAACACTTTGTTTGTTTTCCTCCAATCTTTCATTCATCCTATTGAGATCATATATCTCGGTTGTTATTTCTGAAGTAACAAGGTTGGGGACTACGTACACACGTTTAAGCCAAGACGAACAATAGGATGTGTGTTGTAAACTCTCAATCAGAACGACCACATATATGCCATAAAAAAGTTCAATATTTATTAATGTTGCTGTCTTTTGTTGTTTTAAACTAATAAAATAAACATTTTCGACAATTAAGAAGCCATTTTGATGTTCTATTTTGTCGTCTATGGCCGCATTACTAACGTCACCATCCCGCGCGCTTGATGTCAATCATAGTATGATAAATTATACTATCAAGTTTGCCTGGTAACATTGTAAATATATGCGTATAAATTACAACTCCTTTTGCTGCAGAATATATATAAACATCACAATTAAATTGTTTGTTTAATATTTAACGGATTTACTTCCGCTATCACGACCTTTTGCTGCGAGAATCGATAAATATGATGAGAATGGGGACAGCATCAAGTGAAAGTGTATCATAAAAATACATAGTTTTAATAACTTGATTGTGTATTCGCTGGGTACATGACGGCCGGCATGCTATCCAGACGAAGTTGGATAAAAAATCTTGTCTAATAACACAACAGTTATAACTACAACACAGGATGGTCCACAGATTCTTTGATAAAATCAGTAAATTCTCTTGCATGTGTTGTTTTCTAACAAACCAACCACGTCGCATGATCTTCTGAATTACCTGACATATATATTTCAGCTTCAGGAGCTGTATTTGACTAGTTTCTTATATTACAAGAAACGGTATTCGCTTGAATGCTTAACTCTGATCCTGCATGGCGCTGAAACATTGGAACATAGCTCCTATGTTAAACCTTATTTACACAAACACACCTGTTTATTGATTATTTATGATTATCTTTTGTTCAAGAACAGTATCTTACGATTAATATTAGAAACTAAGATCTATGTATTGAAATAAATGATCAACTCGCGATCTTGCGGACAAAATAGCGTGTTACAGGTGTGAAGGTAAACGATTATAAATAATCAGTATCCCACAATTATTGAAATATAGTTAATATATTCTGCCACATTTTGCACTAAGTCACCGAGATCGTCACCTTAAGTCATGGGTGGTCGATAAATCTGTCAGATCTGAAGGATAGCGGGCCAGTAACAGTTGCCCGAGGTCCTTTTTTTCACTGGGCCAAGAGTTCTCGCAAATTTAGGCCCTTTGATAGTGACGCCAATATAGCATTCCGATAAAAGTAGAGAGCACTCATAAGGAACTATTTTACTTGTCTGTTTCCGTACAAGGTTACAGGTGTACATAACGAGGCCTCTGGAAACCGCAAACTAACTTAAAATTCGACATTCGGTCAGTATTACAAATCCGGAACTGTGGTTGAACTGATTGAGACTAATTTATTTACGCGATGTTTGAATTGTCATACTGAACGCTGGTTTCTTGGGGAGAACCATATGTGAACATATATATATATATTGAGTTAACTATCCGAATATTTCTAGAGAATCGTGTCATGCTCGAGCTCTTTAGTACGGAAGGTTATAAATATTATCCTGAATTTTCCTGATCTCGTTACGACAAGACGACTTCGTTATAACGTAATATGCTAATTCGTTATATCGATATTACACGTATTAGCGTCCGTGTGCTTTACCTTACAGAAAATGATAAAGATTCAAAGATAAAGGAGACAAACATATTTAGAAAAAAAAGAAAGTATGATTAAAAATAGATATTTCATTTAAAATTATATCAATCAATATTTCATTAAGTTGTTATGCCAAATGAAAAAAAATACTATGAAATAAACAAAATTATCAATATAGGGCCGTTTAAAATCTGTCATCCTTATCTCCAATACGATAGCTTGCTATATATCGCCTTAAGATGAATTGTTGCTTGGTTTTAGAATAACTACCGATTTCCATAAAGCTGAAGTACTACAGTAATGGATATACAGCTAACTTTTCTTGTATTTTCTATATTTTTCTCACCATTTTATGTGGCAACTATTTAATTTTACATCAAACGTGAAATGTATCAATTAGAATGTGTCACAGTTTCATTAACAACATTGTCGCACTAGATTTCATCACAAAGGATTAATTGAAATAAGCTTCTGCAAGATTCATTAAAAATAGGTTTTAATAAGAAATAAACAAAGACATCAAAAGGAAAGCAACATCTGTAAATTTTTGAAGTTGTTAAGACGTCGTATTATAATACGTGACGTCATAAAAATAACATTTTCACGAGGAATACGTGACATGTTACCGCAGCTACATTTTTGAAAATGCGAGCGTTACCAAATTTTTTATGGTAAACCCGACAGCATAGCAACAACAACAACAATAACAACAACAATAATAACAATAACAACAACGAAAACGACGATTTTAGCAATTAAGAAAAATTCAAAATATTTTAAATGTACTAGCTACTTGACATAATGAAGAATGAAAAACAAGTCTATCGATTTCAGGTAAGACGGGAGACAGCATTTCGGGACATGTCGATTCAATTGATCGCTGTATTTTTCCTCAGTCAATTACAACTCTGGAGTAAGACTTAAAAATACACATTATTTATGGACATCATTGTCGTCATTAAAACAGCCACCCCGACAACTGACACCACGGCCACAGGGATCGGCTTCTCCTGTCGAACTGTTTCACTGGTACCCGATATCATCAGCTGTAGCTTATTCACTAACTGGTTTATCTGGTTTGGTGAAAACTGACCGGAAACAAGCAAACACAGCACAGCGCATGTCAGGACAAACAACAAGCGATTATAACCGATCATTTCTAGATAATTCTTGCTGTATTTGTCAATTGCACACAAAACAACTCCGGCAATGGTGACGTCAGATGTTAGTAAACACTTGTCTATAATCTTGTTGGAATTATTTACAAATATAGCACAATCAATGTCCCCGCGTTCTTTATCTGTGATTCGAATGAGATTCGCGTAACATGTGGCATTCACATAAAACGATCTGCAGTTAAATTTCACTTCTAGTTTTGTCGCTTTTCAGCTTGTGTATGATAAATGTTTTCAGCCAAAAAGTGGTGGATTCCAATTCCAAGCTGCTTCTTTGAACGTACACAAGTAGAATATGGTCGCTTCTTCTTCTTCTTCTTCAAACTTTTAAAGCTGTAAAATGATGGTGACTAAACACCTGGGCTCGTATTCGTGAAACCATTCTCATGCTCGAGCATAGACTTTTAGCTCAAGCAGACTTTTCTATAATTCGCCTAAATCATATAAAATGATACATATGTCAAATATAAACATTGAATATAACTTTGACTTGAAGTCCTTTCAATCTGTGGCAAAATCAGCCTTATCTATTAATTTTTAACTTAAACAAGACATAAGGCTTGAGCACAAAATTCATGCTTGAGCATGAGAACGGTTTCATGAATACGGGCCCTGGTCTTATTCTCCGTATACTTTACAAGAAGTCTCCGCGTCAACCTTTCGTTTGTTAATATTTTGCCCTAGTTGACATATTGGTATTTTTTAAATACACGTTGTGAAATTCATATATTATAAAAGTAAACATACATATCATCTATCATATCATTTAATTTTCTTTTTCATACAGTCCATGAAAAAATTCTTCTGAAACCATCATGATGTTCTTTGAACTATTTGTTATGTACTGTAATACTATTTCAAATCTATCTTTCAATACCAGCCTTTCGCATTTCTTTAAGATATAAGTATATGCTGATTCATTCTACAATGTTATTCCATATAGACTTAAAATAAAAAGTGATAGATGAATATCAAGATAAAATATACTTACCTTTTTAACGATACATGTAAATAACTTTCAAATTATTTTTCAATGAATGAAACTCCGATGAAATGTCGATGACTGGTTTGTAATGACGTTCCGTTAAACAGCACACATCCATACCTACTGATTTATTTTATTACTTATTTAATACACACTAAGGAACCTTTGATGTACCCGACCAATGATAGGGGATAGCTCAATCAGGTGTTATATAATTCATGTTATGGCTGTTTTGGATGAGTTCAGGTTCTGCGACCTCACACGGAAATGGTTCGGCTTGTTTGGAATAAGTTTGTAGAAAATTAACACGTATAAACAAGCTAATGAAGGTTAAGTGAGAAATTTAGATGAATTCTGAAAATCTGTGAAGAGGATCAGGTTGTTGAGGATGAGGAAGAGATGGAAGACTGAGAAACTTTGATAGAACAAATGGGGAAACACAGCGGTTTGATGGAAAGGGATTTGGTGAGATAAGAACAATTTTGACCAGGTCGATGAAAGAGATTTCGTGATGTAAGAACCATTGTGACCAGGTCGTGGAAAGAGATTTCATGATTTAAGAATCATTGTGGCCAGGTCGAGGAAAGAGATGTCGTGTTATAAGTACCATTGTGGCCAGCTCTTGGAAAGAGATTTCGTGAGATAAGAACCATTGTGGCCAGGTCGTGGAAAGAGAATTCTGATGTAAGAACTATTGTGGCCAGGTCGTGGAAAGAGATTTCATGAGATAAGAACCATTGTGACCAGGTCGAGGAAAGAGATTTCGTGATTTAAGGACAATTT